CCTGGAAGTCCACAGGCACCTACGTTGACAAGGTTCCCCCGCCTGGGGCGAACATCGTCAGTGGCATGTGGATTTTCAGGGTGAAGCAGCCGCCGGGTTCTCCGCCTGTCTTCAAGGCGCGTTACGTGGCTCGTGGCTTCAGACAGCGGCAGGGAGTTGACTACTTTCAGACCTTCTCTCCCACCCCGAAGATGACCACTCTTCGGGTACTGCTGCACATAGTTGCTCACCGCGACTACGAGCTGCACTCTCTTGACTTCAACACTGCTTTCTTGCAGGGCAGCCTGCACGAGGAGATCTGACTGCGTCGCCCACCTGGCTTCACTGGGTCTTTTCCTCCTGTCACCCAGTGGAGCCTCCGGCGGCCAGTCTACGGTCTCCGCCAGGCACTGTGTGATTGGCACGACACACTGAGGACTACACTTGCGGCTCTTGGGTTTGCTCCCTCTACTGCTGACCCGTCGCTGTTTCTGCGCACTGACACTTCTTTGCCGCCGTTCTACATCCTCGTGTACGTCGACGACTTGGTCTTTGCCACAGCTGACACTGCTGGACTCGCCCACGTGAAGTCCGAGCTGCAGAAGAGACACACGTGCACAGACCTGGGTGAACTGCGCAGCTACCTTGGCTTGCAGATCACCCGAGACAGAGCACGCCGCACCATTACCCTGACTCAGTCACACATAGTACAGCAGGTCCTTCAGCGCTTCGGCTTCACGTACTCCTCACCTCAGGCCACTCCTCTACCTACTCGCCACTCGCTCTCAGCTCTGCCTTCGGATGAGTCCGTAGAGTCGAGTGGCCTGTACCCAGAGCTTGTTGGCTGCCTCATGTACCTGATGACCTGCACTCGACCTGACCTTGCATACCCTCTTAGCATTCTCGCACGCTATGTTGCTCCTGGGAGACACTGACCGGAGCATATGGCTGCAGCGAAGAGGGTGTTGCGCTACTTGTGCAGTACGTCGGGCATGGGGCTTGTGCTTGGAGGGCAGAGTCCAGTGGTCCTCACTGGGCACGCAGACGCTTCTTGGGCTGACGACCAGGCTACGCAGCGGTCGTCACAGGGTTACACCTTCAGCCTTGGTTCCGGCTCTGTTTCGTGGCGGGCTACCCGCTCGTCTTCTGTTCTCGGCTCCAGTTGTGAGGCTGAGATCTACGCCGGGGCCATGGCTGCACAGGAGCTTCGCTGGCTCACCTACCTGCTGACTGACCTCGGAGAGCCGCCTCGTTCTCCTTCAGTGCTGTACGTAGACAACAAGGCCATGCTGGCCTTGTGTCGAGAGCAGAGACTGGAGCACAGAACGAAGCACATTGCTCTCCGCTACTTCCTTGCTCGTGAGCTGCAGCTGCGTGGTCAGCTGCGTCTTGCGTACGTGGCCTCTGAGGCCAACACTGCTGATATCTTCACCAAGGCGCTTGCGCCTTGTGATCATCAGCGCTTCTGTACTCAGCTGGGTCTTGTGCCTTCCTTGCCTCACTTGCTCACCTTTTGACCTTGCTTGTACTGTTACATATATATATACACCTGCTCTTGCTTGTCTAGCCTTTTACATATATATGTACTCCTGCATGTGAACTGGCCTTGTGGCCTTGACCTTGTGCTCGGAATGTGTGGTGACTTTGTGATCCACCCTGAGCTTGCTTTGCTTTGCTTTGCTTGACTGGTCTTGTGACCCCTTGTACTCCCCCACTTTGCCTATGGGGGTGTGTCAGAACATTATAGCTTATGCGTTTGTGTTGGCTGTAGTGGGGTAGACCATATGGGGTACAACCCAATTAGGGTTAGTACTTGTACCCAACTCTTTCATAGTGCATTCAGTCTCATTTCAGTTTTCTCACTATAAACAGAATTTCAAGTAAAAACTGTACGTGCGCTTATAATAAGTCAAGGTTTTTTAGGGGGGGCGCTTATAATTGAGGAACGGCCATAAGCGCCATGCTCCAGATATAAGCGCCGGCGCCTTTAATCGAACGGCGCCTATATCCGGGGCCATACGGTATTCGACTGGCCCATGTTCAAATACACCTACTAGAGCCTTCTCGGCTCGGTTCTTGCGCGAAGAAAAGTTCGGCGCCTACGATTTCGGCCGTTTTTTCCGACAAGTGCCTAGAAAGCGCGTGAATCCCTATAGGCGTAGGGAAAAGCATTCAACAACCCGGATTTTATTGCATGTTTGACTAGCCCATATTCAAACACACCTATTAAAGCCTTTTTGGCTTGGTTCTTGCACAAAGAAAAGTTCGGCGCATACGATTTCGGCCGTTTTTGCCGACAAGTGCCTAGAAAGCGTGTAAATTCCTATAGGCGTATAGAAAACCATTCAACAACCTGATTGTTATTGCATATTCGAGTGGCCCAAGTTCAAATACACCTTCTAGAGCTTATTTGGCTTGGGTTTTGCTCGAAGAAAAGTTTGGCGCCTACGATTTCGGCCATTTCTGCCGACAAGTGCCTAGAAAGCGCGTAAATCCTTTTAGGTGTAGGAAAAGGCATTCAACAACCTGAATTCTTTAGCATATTCGACTGGCCCATGTTCAAATACACCTATTAGAGCCTTTTTGGCTTGGTTCTTGCGCAAAGAAAAGTTCGGCGCCTACGATTTCGGCCGTTTTTGCCGACAAGTGCCTAGAAAGCGCGTAAATCCTTATAGGCGTAGGGAAAGGCATTCAACAACCTGAATTCTATAGCATATTCAACTGGTTGATGACCGATGATGCTTGCAACCCTCCCACGCTCTTTCTGGCTTGGTAATAGGACCAGACAAGCGCAGCCAAGTGACCCGGCAAAAGAAAAACGCTCGGAACGAGCGCTTCAATTTGATTGGTCCGCGGCGTTGGATGCGTCTTTTTTCATGCTAGTCTACTGGATTAGACTGTTTTTTACATCCACAACGAGTGGCTCAATTGCATTTCACGTGGTTTGCATGATTTGAGCGCCCGAACTCTGCCCGGTACGCTCATTATAGGCGCCCATACTGACCAGGGTGGCCAACGCATCACTTTGATCGGCCAGCGGCGTTGGATGCGTCTTTTTTTGTGCTACTCCACTCGATTAGACTGTTTTGCACATCCACAACGAGTGGCTTCATTGCATTCCACGTGGTTTGCATGATTTGAGCGCCCGAACTCTGCCCGGTACGATCATTATAGGAGTCCATACCGACCGGGTGCCCAACGCATCACTTTGATTGGCCCGCGGCATTGGATGCGTCTTCTTTCATGCTAGTCTACTCGATTATACTATTTTGCACATCCACAACGAGTGGCTCCATTGCATTCCACATGGTTTGCATAATTTGAGCGCCCGAACTCTGCCTGGTACGCTCATTATTGGCGCCCATACTGACCAGGGTGCCCAACGCATCACTTTGATTGGCCCGCGGCGTTTGATGCGTCTTTTTTTGTGCTAGTCTACTAGATAATACTATTTTGCACATCCACAACGAGTGGCTCAATTGCATTCCACGTGGTTTGCACGATTTAAGCGCCCGAACTCTGCCCGGTACGCTCATTATAGGCGCTCATACTGACCAGGGTGCCCAACGCATCACTTCGATTGGCCCGCAGCGTTGGATGCGTCTAATTTTGTCCTAGTCTACTGGATTAGACTATTTTTCACATCCACAACAAGTGGCTCCATTGCATTCCACGTGGTTTGCATAATTTGAGCGCCCGAACTCTGCCCGATACGCTCATTATAGGCGCCCATACTGATCAGGGTGCCCCACGCATCACTTCGATTGGCCCGCGGTGTTGGATGCATCTTTTTTCATGCTATTCTACTGAATTAGACTGTTTTGCACATCCACAATGAGTGGCTCCATTGCATTTCGCGTGGTTTGCATGATTTGAGCGCCCGAACTCTGCCCGATACGCTCATTATAGGCGCCCATACTGACCAGGGTGCCCAACGGATCATTTTGATTGGCCCGCGGCGTTGGATCCTGCCATTCTATCGTGCTGCTGTAGCGAGCAGGCACACCAATTCTCTTGCTGCTTGTTAAGCCGTTTTGTTTTCAGATGCCAACGAAGAGGCAGCACAGGCTTGCAGCACTCTTGGCTTGCAGCTGTCTTTCGTTTTTCCCTTGTCGGCATGCTCCTTCTATCCCTCCATCCCTCTGTGTGAGACTTCTTAAAGAGAGGCCATCGGGGCAATGAATCTACGGAGACATTCAGAGTTGTTTCTCCGCCTTGTTCCTCTCCCACCATCCCTCTTCTTTCCCTTACAAATCAACACTCTCTTTGTGCAGCTGGACGCAGCCACATAGGCGAGCAGGGCACTGGAGGACAGGGGAGCACTGAGGCAGGCAAAATTCGCTCCTCCTTCCTGTTATCCTCCTTTCCCACCCATCTCTCCTCGTTTTAGCAGATCAACACTTGCCCAGCTGGATGCAACCACACAAGCCAACAGGGCATTTGAGCAGGTAGTTGAGGAGACAGAGGCGGACAGCAAGGAGGCGATGGCGCGGTTGCACGCCATAAAGGTAGAGGTTGAGGCGCATCGTGCGACTGTTACACGGTTACAATTTCTCGTGCCCCTCGTGGCTCCCTCAGTGGAGTCGGACGAGGCCGCCCAGTTCTGCCAGAACGTGGCTGAGGAGTTTCGATCACCGACTTCATAGCAAAATTGTGACGGGCGGCTGAGGCAGAGTGGTAGGGTTGAGAGGCTAAGCAGGGTGATGGTTCGTTGGGGGCCAATGGGGCAGCGCAAGGAGTGCAGTTTGTGCTTAACAACCCTTTCAATCTTGGCGGGAAGCAACAATAGTTTATAGCCTTGTGTGTGGTTGGGTTGGGCTCTCCTCAGCCAGTTGAGGCTGTATACATGCTTGGTGAAGGTGAGCACCTATTGTGTGTGACTGACTGCCTGTGCCGAAGTTGTTTTGTCACAGGTCAGCATACGATGTCTTTACATGGCTGAGTTTTTGGGTGACGATGGTCTCAACTAACACTGAGGGAGTTCCAGCAACATCAGCAGCATGCCACGTCAGCAGCTGGCATCACGTAGTCATGGTGGCAACGGGGGAAGCGGGCAGCGAGTCGAGGTACTGCAGGAGGTGCTGATTGGACGAGGCGGAGAGCGCCAGGTCATCGTGCATCTGAGTCAGCGCCCTTGACAGCGCTTGCATGGGCGGCCGCAGCGCTGCCCGCCCCGGCGTGCCAGGCGGCAGGGCGAGAGCCTTGCCGTGTTGCAGGACCAACTCCTGCAGTGCAGGAGAGGGGAGGGGGGGGGGGAGGGAGGGGAGGGGGGAAGTGAGGAGGTGAGAGTGTGAGTGAGTGGGAGAATGAGACTGCATGTGCCAGGTCGCACCATACATGCCTTGCCAGGAGATAAGACAAGTGCCGGCGCGAGGGAGGAGGTGAGCACGAGGGAGGAGGTGAGCACGAGGGAGGAGGTGAGTATGAGGGAGGAGGTGAGTATGAGGGAGGAGGTGAGTATGAGGGAGGAGGTGAGTATGAGGGAGGAGGTGAGTATGAGGGAGGAGGTGAGTATGAGGGAGGAGGTGAGTATGAGGGAGGAGGTGAGCATGTGAGTCAGTGCTCCCTCGTCCACTCCCATTGCCACTCCCTTCATCCACTCCCCTCATCCACTCCCCTCCTCCTCCTTCTGGACTCTTTACACCGCTCCCCTCTCACCTTGCACCACAGCAGCACATATTCCAGCTCAGGACGTCCCTCCAGCATTCCAACACCAGAGCCACGAGTTACGGCCCCCCACCCATCACATCCCTCATGCCCTCTGCTTCAAACGTCCCCAAGCCTTCCAGACACCCCCTCCCCCACTCCCCCCGCTCACCTTGCACCACAGCAGCACGTATTCCAGCTCAGGCCGCCCCTCAAGCATGGCTGCCACGGCCGCCACCAGAACCGCCACCGTCCCCCACAGAAGTGCACTAGAGATCCCTCATCATACAGCCCTTTGCCTCAACCCTTCCCCCCATCCCCCCCTTCCCCCCCTCCACCTCACCTTGCACCACAGCAGCACATATTCCAGCTCAGGTCGTCCCTCAAGCATTGCTGCCACGGCCGCAACCACCTTCCCCAGCCGCTTCCTCGGCAGCGCCGACACTGTTGCACCCAGCCGCTCGGGCGGCACCGCCATCATTGCATCCTGTAGCAGCTTCGTCTCATTCAGCCGCAGCGCCATCTGTATCGCCCTGGCATGCAGCCCAGCGGCTGTAGCAGCCGTTACAGCCGCAGGCGTAACATCCATGTCTAAATCTGACGGGTCAAACACCACCCCTTCATCCAACCCAAACACCACCAGCCCCTCAGTTGTCGCCGCCGCCCAGGACTGCCCGGTCGGCGAGAATTGGATTGCCTTCACGCGGATCTCCGGGCGGCGCTGGCTGCCGTTTCTCGCCGCCCCGGGGAGGTCGGAGCCAAGCAGCGTGTGGCGGCGCTGGCGGTGCGAGTCGTCGAGGTCGTTGTCGTCCAAATCAGAGTCGCTTATATCGAGGATGTCGAGCGGGCCTGCGTCCGTCATGCGGTGCGGGTTGAGCGAGTCCATGGCGCCTGAGAGAGACTTGTTGCTCGTTATCAGGTAGCGCCGCAGCAGCAGCTGGTGAGGGAGGGCACGAATGGGGGCGAGAAAGGAGAGGGTAGGGGTTGGTCATGCGCTGGGGCTGAAGGAAATTTTGGGGTGATAAGGCCCGATCCGTCGCATCCCACCCCACACTTCACCTTCCCACCGCACAGCACCACTCACTCACCATCTCCGCCACGTCATACAGACAAACGTATCTGCTCGTCCCAGCAGCCAGCAAAAAGCACCCATCCGCCGAGTAACACAGACTCCGAAAGCTCTTATCCCCCAGCCGCAGCGCCCCCCGCGCGGCCTTGCTGCCCTTGCCGCCCGCCGCCGCCGCCCCACCAACCAAATCTCGCCGCCCCTCGATGCTACCCTGCAGCTCGCCCTCGAGGGGGTCCCACAGGTGGATGTGGCCGTCCAGCGTGGCGGTCGCCAGCTGGCGGCCGTCCGGGCGGAAGGCGAGGGCGAGCACCTCGTGCGAGTGCGGGAGGGGCTCTGTGCCACCCTTGGCCTCAAACACGTCCCACAGCCGACACGTGCTGTCCCACGCTGCTGATGCTAACAGTTCCTGTGGTGCAACGGGAAGGGTTGAGGGGAGGTTTACTGGAGTTACTTTGAGAAGTCCCTAAAGCTAAAGGGAAGAAGGGTAGGGGTGGGCGAGAAGGCGAGACTATGCATGTTCCACAAACACGCACCTATATCCATCTCGGCTAACACCTCCCAACATTGCTCTGCTCACCTGCGTGGGAGAGAAAGAGAGGCTGTGAACCGGCCCCTCGTGCCCTGACAGCACGTCCAGCAGCCGGCCCGTGCGCATGCTCCACACGTACACCTGGAAGTCATCCTGACTCGCCGCACACACCACCTCGCCCGACGGGTGCACAGCCAGAGACGCAAACTGCACGGGCTGCGGCGTGGTGAGAGTGCGGAAGCACCGGTACCGCAAGAGGTCGAACGCCCGCACCGTGCCGTCCAGCGACGCGCTCACCACCGCCCCGCCGCCCCCGCCGCCGCCCGCGCCGCCCGCCGCCGCGGCCGCTGCCGACCCCGCGCCGCCGGACGGGAGGAATGCCACGGCGGTAACCGGGCCGGTGTGCTCGGCGAGTGTTACAAAGCAGAACCCCGATGCGAGGCTCCAGACCTTCACCTTGGCGTCGTCCGATCCGGTTACCACACGGGTGCCGTCCGGAGAGAACGCAACACAGCTAACATCATAGAAATGACCCTGAACCTTCATCACGTAGGTTTCCGATCGCCACTCCCATACCAGCAGCTGCCCCAGGCGCGCACAGCCCACTGCCACCCAGTCCCCCGCCTCGTTGAACGAGACGGAGGAGATTTTGGTGCGGGAGATGGACATGAGGTGCAGCGTGGCGAACTCGGGCAGCTGGTAAAGCCCAAAGATGCCCGAGGAGAAGCCGGCGACGAGGAGATTGGTGGGCTTGTGCAGGTCGCAGGAGGTGAGGCGCGCCTTGGGCAGCATGAAGAAATGTTTCGCCTCAAGGCGCCACTTGCCCTCGTCCAATCGGAAGTCCCGGCGGACATGGGCGGGTGTGGGTGCCTTCTCTACCAGCCTTGTTCTCTTCCTTGGCTGCTCCTCCTCCTCTGCCCCCTCCTCCTCCTCATTCCCCTCCTTATCCCCCTCCTCCTCCTCCACTTCCTCCTCATCCTCCTCCTCCTCTTCCTCATCTTCCTCCTCGTCGTCCTTCTCTGCTTCCTTCTCCATTTCACCATCCTCCTCCACCTCAGCCCCTTTCTCCTCTTCCTCTTCCTCCTCTTCTTCTTCCTCCTCCTCCTCCTCTTCCTCTTCCTCTTCGTCTTCCTCCCCTTCCTTCGTCTTCCCTTTCTCTCCTTTCTTCACATCCTTCCCCTCATTCTCCTCCTCATTTTCCTCCTCATCATCCTCCCCCTCCTCCTTATCCTCATTCCCCTCCTCATCATCCCCATCCTCCCCGCCATCATCTACCACCTCCCCGCCTTCCCCCTCCTTAGACCTCTTATAAACCTTTACCCCCTTATCCCCCTGGTCCCCCCTGCTGGCCCTGCGCCCCTTCCCCTTCCGCCTCCGCCAGCCCTTGTGCAGCGGGTCGAAGAACCACGAGAACAGCGCGCCGTCTTTCGACACAGTGTATATCCGCAGCGCCTTTTCCGCCCCCCCGGGTCCCTCCCCCAGCCCCTCCTGTCCCCCCTGAACCCCCCTTAAACCCAGAGCCACGTCCGCCCGTTTGAAGTTTGGGCCAGCTCCAGTCATAATGGCAGAGCCCCCTCCATAGAAGAACGCGCCTATAATCACATCCTTGTGCCCAGTCAGTCGCACCGGCTTGTACATTTTGAGGGAATCCAGGGAGTAAATCCTGGCCGTTAAATCCTTGTTTGCGGCCACGATCCACTTTCCGTCGGGAGACCAATCAATCGCCGTGACCTTGTCGTAACCTCCCGAAAACGACTTGAACAGTCGCATGGGCGAAAAGGTTTTTCGCATTTCAGGCGTGTGCCAGATTTGGAGTTGTCGCCCAACCCCTGCTGCGAAGAATTTTCCGTCTGGGCTGAATCTGAGGGCTCCCACGGGGAACTTGAATCTGAAAAGATGGAGCACAACGCGCCGATGCACGTTGACCATTCTGGACCGTCCATCTGAATCGACGGCTATCAGAAGGTTTCCGTCGGGGGATAGCGCGATGAGAGAAACGTCAGTCATTGTCTGGAACGGAAGCGTGTTCGACTCCGATGCCGTCAGGTCTACGACGTTGACGCGGTTACCAACAGGCGAATAGAGTTTTGTGTCTTCGCGAAGGAGGATGTTACCTCCTCGGTACGGCGCACCGAGGAGGTTCTTGAAACGGTAATTCATGACGGCGGACCCAATGCGACCAGGTAAGTAAGGAACGGCTAGATAGTACCTACGCGAGCACGATAGGCAAGTGATTCCGCGACCTTCAAATGGTCGGAAAAGAATAAGGTACTAAAAAGGGAGGAATGAAACCCAGGTGCTGCGGTGCGGAGAGGGGGAAATATGGAGGAAGGATGTCCGCGGTTGTGGATGCATCGGTTGCCGTTACGTACTGGTTCATATGGTAGTACAACATCCTGAAACTACCATGTAGCGAGTCCCCCCTTCGGGTTTCATCACCCGCCAAACCAACCATGAGTTTGCACGACGACCACCTGCCAGCGAACAACAAGCCAGATGCGACAGATCCGATCGGAGCCGTCAAATCTTTACCTTTTGTCACTGATGCCAGTTCGGCCCTTGGATGAATCCTGGGCGCCACGTTTCATCGCAGATCGTTCGATCATTCCGTTTTGCTTTGACTTCCAGCTGAGCCGTTTCTCCTCTCCAGCTATACAGTAAGCCAGTGGTTGGTTGGCCAGTGGTCAGGTCACGTCTGTCATCACGTCTCCCGTAACAACCTTGCTGTGCTGTCGATCATGGATGCATCGCCGCCGCGTCCTTTCTTACCCAGCCGAGCCTTGTCCCATCATCGCAACCGTCCATAAACAAGAACTGTGATTTGCAGTCAAACCAAACGAAACCCAAACGTCAGTCAGGAACAACCAAGCCACGTGCCAGTCACTTTCCCTCGCACCCTGTTGGCCAATAAGCTCCTCCTAAAGCCCCCCAGCTCCTCGCCGAAGCTTCTCCATTGACCTCACCGAACCTGGTGAACCTCGTTCACACCCCTCACCCGAACTACTTCCCAGACGTCTGGTACATTCTCGAGGTTCCCGAGGCTGCCGAGCAACATCCATCCAACCATCCATCCATGACCCAGGGAGCTTCGCGGCGATCTCCCTCGATTCCACCGCACACCAGCCCAGCGTCAGGGAGCACATGCGTGCACCCGCCGCAACCTCTTTTCTACTGACTCCTTCCACCTCCACGTTCTGTTTTGAGTCGGTTTTCACGAAGCGAGTTGTGTTCTGACAGCAGTAGTATACGAATCTGACCAGTGTGCGCAACGACTATTGTGCTGAAAGCTTATTATTGACTGGACTCAAATCATATCGTGTTAGGACTGACGATTGGTATTGCATCTAAGAAAGCGATTCGTCGTTCTTAGAGCATAGCTATTTATCTCGAATCTTATCTGGCCAGAAACTTGTTGCTTGTGAAGGTTCCCCTCGACAAGTTGGGTCATGGTGAATTACCCCATGAAACCGCCTCGAATAGAAGTAAGTCGTGTGCTTTCGCTATATCCCAATTATTTATAGCTTCCGTTTCCACGATCGAGCGGTGAATAAGTAGCTCATGCCGGCCATTTTGCTGAAACCAGTTGTCTTTTCATGAACCACTCTAACCGCAATTCTCATCCCCTCCCTCCCGTCCCTCTCTACCTCCGCTTGTCACGCAGGACGGCACGCTGTGCATGCTCGGCGCTCGCACGCACAGCAGCTGCACGCTGCACCTGCCTCCCACCCCACCCATCGCACCCTCTTCCTTAGACTCGCGGATTCAGTGTCAGGAGCAGCAGCAGCAGCAGCAGAATGGGGGGTTACCTCAGCCACAGGAGCATCGCAATCAGTCAGTTTTAGGGTCGGGAGGGTCCACGTGGCCTGTCGTCCGCTCCGGCTTTAGCGCGGATAAAGGCGGCCGGCAGCGGATGGAGGACGCCCACGTGGCGGTAGATGATTTGTCACAGGCTATTGGTGACGTGGCTGTTGCGCATCCGCGAGCTTTTTACGGGGTGAGTCACCAGTACGTTCAGCATGAGGCTCGGTTAAGAGTAGATGACGTAGGCACGTCAACTCCTGCTCAGTGGTAGAGAGCTCTTCTTTCGTCACTAAACTCTTTTATAGTCATTCTCGTTAACTTATCCGTCGTTTAACATCCCTCCCGTCTCGTCAATTGTCCCGTCGGCTCATCCTAACCGTCCCGCTCCGCAGATCTTCGACGGTCACGGCGGCGACGCGGCGGCGCAGTTCGCGCGGCAGAAGCTGCTGGGCCACGTGCTGCGCGACGCGGCGTTCCCGCTGCACGTCGGCAGCGCGCTCAGAAACGCGTTCCTGCGGACGGACCGCGAGCTGGAGACGGCGCGCACGGCGGAGGGGCACGCCATGGACTCGGGCACCACTGCGCTCGCCGTGCTGCTGCTGGGCAGGTGGGGAGACCATAGATGATAGATTGTGTGCGTTGTGGTTTACGGCCGTGCAGTGCGGAGTGAGTGCTGCTGTACTGATAGTCAAGCTCTAAGCGGTGCTGTCGCTAATAGCGCTGCGTCCCACCTACCATCCCCATCCCAACATCACCTCGTCCCTACCGCCTCGCCCTTTCGTCCCCTCATCCCCCCATCCCCCCATCACCCCTATCACCCGCCCCCCCTTGAACCAATTACCCCATCACCCCATTCCCGCATCACCTCATCGCCTCGTCCCCCCACCCCCACCAACCCCTGCAGGTCGCTGTACGTGGCGAACGCGGGGGACTGCAGGGCGGTGCTGTGCCGCAGGGGGCAGGCGGTGGAGCTGTCGCGGGACCACCGCCCCAACTTTCCCACACACCCCTTTCCGCCCCCAACCCCTGCAGGTCGCTGTACGTAGCAAACGCGGGGGACTGCCGGGCGGTGCTGTGCCGCAGGGGGCAGGCGGTGGAGCTGTCGCGGGACCACCGCGCTGTCTGCCAGCACGAGCGCGCGCGCGTGGAGCGGGCGGGCGGGTGGGTGGTGGACGACTATTTGAACGACCAGCTGGCTGTCACCAGGGCGCTGGGCGACTGGCACATTGAGGGCCTCAAGACCCGCCGCTCCTCTGCGGCCGCTGCAGCTGATTCAGCCGGTTCAGCTGGTGCAGCTGGTGCTATAGATGCTGCTACAAGTGGTGCTACAAGTGGTGCTACAGGTGCTGCTACAGATGTTGCTACTGATACGGCAGGTGGCAGTCATGCTCCAGGCAGCAGTGAAGCGGACGCTGCTGTAAGAAGTGCCAGTAGCGCCACCTGTACAGGCCCTACAGCAGCGATGGCGTCGCTACCATCCCCTGGTAGCGACAGCGACAGTGACGTTATAGAGGGGCCGCTTATAGCGGACCCAGAGGTGCACGAGGCGCATCTGTCGAACCCCGAGGACGAGTTTCTGGTGCTGGCGTGTGACGGGCTGTGGGACGCGTTCAACAATGAGGGCGGCGGCAGCAAGGAGGTCGTGGCGTTCGCTCGCAGGCGACTCAGACTGCACAACGACCCCCAGCAGTGCTCCAAGGTGCAGCTTTTGCATTCATCTTCAAGTTAAAGCTATCTTAGAACTCTCGGCTTACGGTATCCCTAATCCCCTGCTCTAGTCCTTCCCCGCTTTGCCAGTCGATCCCTGGAGTGCACTCAGATCCGATCATGTGTGGTTTGACTCATTGCACCGCACTGTCATCACTCTGTTCCGTCTCACAGGATCTAGTGGAGGAGGCGATCCGGCGGCACGCGTGTGACAATGTGACGGTGCTGACGGTGTGCTTCTCACTCGACCCCCCGCCACTGCTGCAACACCATGAGCTGCTGCACTCGCAGCTTCCTCGCAGCTTCTCAGAGTACAGCCTTAGATGCCTCAACTGAGCGGGAATGGAAGGCACGGGGGCCAAGTGAAGGGGGGAATCTCCATTGATGGGGGAGATGTGTCAAATAGGGGACGTGTTGGGAATTTGACTGGATGGAGGGGTGGGGACTGGGGCAGGCGGGTCGCCGCAGCCTGCTTTGATTGGGTAGGCCCATTTCTCTTTCTGTGCTGTGTTGAGCTGGTCATTATCCAGCCATGTGTGAGCTTGCTTACCGTTTCAACGGTTTGTGTTAATATATGTATATGACATCTGTTTACTGGTGCTGTACATACTTGAATTTGCAGATTCTGTGCTGTTCATTTCAAGGTATGGCCGCTTGCACCACATGCAGGTTTCTAGTGGTCACATCACACACGGTAGCGGAGTGACTAGTACTACCCCATGTTGTCATTCCTTCCATGCACACCAGTCCAGAAGGGGTGATTACCGTAGACTGTCTGATTTCTACTACATAAGGCCACAGCCAGCCGCGGTACAAACTGGTCTGAATGACTCATACCACTCAACATACAGGTGACTAATGGACCACCACCAGCCTCCAACAGAGTGAAAATAGGATGAAGCTCTTCACATTAAAGTGATCTGCAAGAAGAACCCATAAGAGTCACCAATACACAGCAAGCATGCATCACAGCAGCAGCAAACGGCCCTTGTGCCATGTCAACTCCAGGTCATGGAGTGGGTGGGAAGAGAGGTGCTGGGATCAGGCAGCCTCGGATCAGGCAGATGACTTCACCGCCTCAGAGACTTGCCGGATCACTGCAGCAGAGACATGGTGGGACATGCACGAAGGGAGATTATTACCGGATCACATCACAAGGCTTGTTACATGGAGGCTTCAAAGAGTGTGTATATTATGGCGTACTTATGGACGCCAGCTACTTTAGGGGAAACGCTGGAACTTCAGCAGAAATGGCGGGAGCTTCGTCCAAAGTGGCGGGAAGTGTTGACTGGGAATTTACACTGAAACCGATCGACGAGTGAATCTATGGCGATCGCTGCGCATAGGGCGAGGTGAGGCGACGAGGCTTTCGGAATACGCACCTGGCTTATCCGGCACGCCCTCCTTCCACTGTGCGACCTTGTTATACACCTGCTCGCGCGCGATCGCTGTGCAAGGGCGAGTGATACGGACTCAGGTGATACCCAGGGATGGGGATGCGGAGGGATACGCACCTGGCTTCTCCGGCACGCCCTCCTTCCACTGCACGACCTTGTAGTACACCTGCTCGCGAGCGATCGCTTGTGACTTAAGCGGCTCCTTGAGGCACGCCCGCAGATGCGCAGCGCACTGATTCGCGTACGCGAGATACGTCATCCCCGCTGCGCGCCAGTACGACGAAGCCGCCATAGTTTACTACTGCTTCTCTCCCTCCACTTGACGGATACTCACAAGGCTACCCGCGAGACGAGGCGTGAGGAAATGGCGGAGACGGGATGGACGTGGCGTGGTGTGGTGGAGAAGTGGTGATTCGGGATGGGAAGCACACAGGCTGGCGGGGGGAGTCGGAAAATAGGGTTGCTTCAAGGAAGGGAGGGGGGAACGGCGGGGAAAGAGCACGGGAGGTGGCGCAAAGGGGGTGGGGGAGAAGTGCGGAGGTATGCGAAGATTGGCTCCCTTCGAGAGTGCTCTGTAACAGCGAAGCGCAATATTTTCCCTGTGCGAGCGAGTAACAGGTCGCAAATTTGTTCGCTCAGCTTCACAGTTTCCAGCAACTGCAGCTGAATCACTTCGCCTCTTTTATTTCTGTCATCACTTCTTTCTTGATCGTTTATGGCGGCCTGGTTCCAGGCCAGGCATGTAGAACTTTGCGCATGCGTGTTCGACTACACACCGTGTAATTGAGTGGTACGTTTGTGAGGTCGGAGTTTGACGGCGTTCGGAAATGACGGCATTATCTTCGCCCGCTGCGTTCGCGAGGACTGGATTATCCACGCCGTCATCCTTCAGCCGCTCCCTTCCGCTGAATTCGAGGCTTGCGGTTCGCTCCGCACCCCGCAACTGTCGCGTTTCCCGGCTTTCATGCCAAGCAGAATCATCCCAGTCGCCGATCCAATGTCTTGATGATTCAATAGGGTCTTCAGACGTTTCCCAGATAACGATCGAAGCTTCCGAGTCGAATCAATCCGATCCTCTTCTCGACGCGCTGACGTGCAACGCGGATGCTGACGTGGCAAGCTTCCACTTTCCGGCTCATCGCAGGGGCCTCGGAGCTCCTCCCCGTGCGCGCTCCGCGTTCGGTGCTGACGTTTTCCGCCACGATTTGCCAGAGCTGCCGGATCTCGACAACCTCTTCGCGCCAGAATCCGTCATCGCCGAGGCGCAGGAGCGCGCAGCGAGAGTATTCGGCGCGTCGGAGACCCGTTTCTTAGTCAACGGCAGCACTGTGGGCGTGCAGGCGGCCATAGTAGCCTGTTGCCGACCCGGCGACGTCCTTATTCTCCCTCGCAACGCTCATCAATGCGCATTTTCCGGTATGGTGCTATCAGGAGCCGTGCCGCACTATATCCTCCCTGTGACCGATAATTCTTGGGGTATTGCTCACGGAGTTACCCTGGAGAGCGTTACAGAGGCATTACGCCACGTGGCTGCTACTGGAGCGCGAATAGGAGCTGTTCTGGTGGTTTCCCCGACCTATTACGGGGTATGCAGCGACATCAGGGGAATCGCCCAGGCGTGCCACGAGGCAGGCGCGCCATTGATAGTAGACGAGGCTCACGGGGCGCACTTTAAGTTCCACAGCGCGCTCCCAGAGACGGCGCTAGATGCGGGGGCGTACATAGTGGTGCAGTCGACGCACAAGGTGCTGGGATCGCTCACTCAGTCCGCCATGCTGCATATCGGCCATGGGGATTCAGGCTCGTCGGCTGAGAATGTGGGTGAAGCCGCATTACCACAATCGCCAGAAACACCATTGCAGTCAGCAGTACCACCACCTTCAGCAGCAGCGCCACAGCCAGAAGTACCACTGCCGCCATCACCCCGTGTGAGCCCACGAGACGTGGCGCGAGCGCTGCAGCTGCTGCAGTCATCGTCGCCCTCCTACCTGCTCCTCGCGTCCCTCGACGCCACCACCGGCCATGTCGCCCGCCCCTCTTTCCCCTCCGCCCTCGCTCACGCCCTCCACCTCGCCACCCGCCTGCGCTCCTCCCTGCTTGCGCTCAACCTGCGAGTCCTCCTCAGCCCAGCCCAACCCTCGAGAAGCCATAAACAGCCCGAGAGGCATGCAGGGTTTGACCCGCTGCGGGTGACGGTGAGCGTGAGGGAGCTGGGGCTGACAGGGTACGAGGCTGATGATGTGCTGAGGCTGCAGCATGGGGTGGTGGCAGAGCTGCCCTTCCTGCATGGCCTCATGTTTGCTGTCAGCACTGGCAGCACTGAGAGCGATGTGGACCGTGTTGTTGCTGCATTCGCTGCCATGGTGGAGGAGAGAGGAGTTAGTGAGTGTGTGGATGGAGTGGAGTGGGAGGAGGGCAAAGTAAAGCTAGAAGAAGTGTTGTTTCCGGTTGCGCCACCGACTAGCAATGGGACTTCAGTGTGCTGCCCGCAATTACCCCCACGGGATGCGTTTTTCTTGCACAGTGAGGTTGTGCCAGCTCAGCAGGCGGTGGGGCGCTACAGTGCAGACATGCTGTGCCCGTACCCGCCTGGAATCCCTGTGTTGCTGCCGGGGGAGGTGGTCACTGCAGAGGCACTGAAACTGCTGCAGAGAGTTCTGAGTCTAGGAGGCTCTGTGTCTGGCCTGCCCTCAGAAAGCCTAGACGCCATACGCGTTATTGGATGAAATGTTATGTTGGATTCATCTGTCCATCGATCGAACGTGTTCCTGCCATAGAATCTGATTATTTATATGAAGTGGTAACAACTTGAACCTGATTTCTTATACAGAAGAGTTCTCCATATGCTTCAAATGGCCAAATACAGTATGTCATGTATTGGACATATTTTAGCAGGATTCGCGGAATCATAAATTTCAGTAAATGCGAATCTTTGCTTGAGCGAGGACAAACCAATTTCGTTGATTTGCGGCGGAGCTGCCAGCCCTTGCTTCGGGTCTGTGTCAGGCGGCTCGTCTGCCAACTTTGAATTGCCGAGCCGATTTTCCCTCCGATTTTGTTACACTCCATGGCTTTGATTCCGAACCTGCTCGCTTCTGGTTTGGACTTGCTTGGAGCGAGCTTCGATCAGAGCCCGCGCAAAAAGTTTTACCTGCCGTGCTGGTAGGGCAGAGACGGCGAGACTGCTTGTATTGATTGTATCCTTGCTCTCTGTCTGCCAAAGCCCTCCCCTTCCTGCTCGCTTTCTCTCATATCTGCCTCTTACCTCACTTGCCACCTCGCCGCCATGGCTTCCTCCAGATACCTAGATCGGTCTGATTGTGTTATGATCACGCAGCGGGATAGTGTCAGATTGACAACTTTATTATACAGTGCTTCAGATCGCTCGAACTAGCTGGCAAACTTACGAGTGTTGAAATGGTTCCAGTTTTAGTAACTTCTGACGTTATCTTTAGTACGGTACGTATCAGATAGGTTCTGCATCCAGCTAGACTCCAGCAGCTCTTGTGGAAGTTAAGGCGAGAATTCGCGAACTGCCAAAGGTTATCGATGCTTCAGTGAACACGTTGAGTAGCTGTGCGACGAGCAAGTCATTATCTGCACGGATTACTCTTACGCACAGTAGTTGCGACTATAGCCATCATCTGTAGCCGCACTTGAAGCAGCGAATCGCTGTAGCAGCCCTGACACGTTTAACTTCAACTGTCACGCATAAAGTATCGGCAGCAGCGGATGCAGCAGAGGATGCAGAAGCGAGCACCGCAGACCCGTGCACAAAGAATACTGACATGTCGATCACCTGGAGATCTTGTCGATCACGGTCAACGGTCGCTGGCAAAGTTGGCCGGCGCCGTCGTCGATTCTTGTCATTGCGGCGACGATTCTTGTCGTTGCGGCAAAATCTCCGTTCGAGCTTGGAGAGCGAGCACGGCGAAATCTCCGTCCGAGCAGCAAGAGTGAGGGTGGTTCCACGCCGTGACGGCGACGGTTCACGCCGGTGTCGCTGCTTCCAACAAAAATCTGTCTCCTCCCACCGGTGATCATCCCGCGGCAGCGCGAGCGAGACAGGCGACGACAGTGGGTCGCGCGACGACGGGAGGCAGCGACGATGCAACGGCTACGACTGAAGGAGGGGAACGGCGCATCAATGCTCGATTAGGGAAAGGAAGCGTCTTGCGTCGATTGGAGCTGAACGGGGGGACGACAGCGACGCGCGACGCCAGTGGGACGCGCGAGGATGGTAGGCGAGTGGAGATGGGAGGCGCGCGACGAGGGGACACGCGGAATTATCGCACGGCAGCGCGAGCAAGACTGGCGAGACGCGAAGCGACGGGCGATACGCCATGCCATGGGCGACACGCCAAGCGACGGGCGAGGCGCCAAGCGACAGGCGAGGCGCCAAGCGACGGGCGAGATGCCAAGCGACGGGCGAGACGCCATGCGACGGGCGACACACCAAGCGACGAGCGAGGCGCCAAGCGACGGGCGACACACCAAGCGACGGGCGAGGCGCCAAGCGACGGGCGAGATGCCATGCGACGGGCGAGACGCCATGCGACGGGCGAGACGCCATGCGACGGGCGAGACGCCATGCGACGGGCGAGACGCGAAGCGACGGGCGAGACGCGAAGGGACGGGCGAGACATCACGGAGCGAGCGTCCGATGACGTGAGGGACTGGCATAAGGGCGAAGGGAGGAGCGAAGGGCGTGGAACATGGAGGCAACGGGAGGCAGCGACTAAGGGGAGACGCGCGACGAGGGCGGAGGCGCGGCGAGGGAGGATGCGCGTCGAGGGATACGCGTGGCGATGGGGGAAGCGCGGCGACGGTGGACTCGTGACGAGGGGGGACGAGGGACGGCGCAACCCTGCAACCCGAGCACGCATACGAGGGACGATGTGCGCCATGCGGCGCGTGCGCGAGTGGTGCGCGAGTTGTGCGGGTGGCGTGTGAGAAATGAGAAATGAAGAAGGGAGGGTTTGCACTAGCAGCAGTTGGCATACATATAGGAAACCCTAATTGGGTTGTACTCGCTATAGAGTACCCCACTGCAGGCTAGACAATTATAACATTCTGACACACCCCCATAGCCAAAGTGGGGTGTAATCAGCACAATGAGCAAGCAGGCATAGAGCAGGAGTTCACAATAGCGAGCAAAGCTAGAGTTAATCATAGCGGGCAAGTGAGGAGGAGGAGGAACTGTGGAGGGAGAGAAGATGGGAGGCAACGATTGAAGCTGCAGAGGCACGGGCACAGGAGCGGCTGACCCAGTGGCTACCGAAGCAAGGGCGACGGACTACTGGAATAACTGGCTCCGCGGCTATAGACGAGCGGCAGGAGCAACGGACCCACTGGCGACTGGTGCAACAGGCTCACTGGCTACCGAAGCAAGGGCGACGGACTACAGGCGTTGCAGGTGACACGACAGCTACCTTCTCACAACCTCCTCCAGCTGCCCCACACCTCTCGACACACACCCCTTGCTTAAACCCTAGTTCTACTCCTACAGCACCCCCCTGTCACACACCCCCTGCCGCACCCTAGGTTCACTCACACCCCACCCCCTAGCACCACTCCGTCGACTCCCACACACCCACCCCCCTCAGCGGCAGCTGCAGCAGTGGGAGACAGAGGAGGAGGAGGAGCAGGGGAGACCACACACCCGCCACCCCCTACTCGCCACCCCCAAACCCTAACACAGGGCAGGGCGGGATGGCGGGTAGGGAGGTTACGGGGGGGGGGGGGGAAGGGGGGGGGGGGGGGCGACGCGCGGCCTCCCAGGGCGCCAAAGCAGGCGGTAGAAGGGGCGACGCTTGCCCCCCCCCCCCCAGGCGGCCCCCTCAGGTCGCCTCGACAGGCGACGGGAAAAGAGGGGGGGGGGCGGTACACGTGCCCCCGGTGCGCCGCGACAGGCGACGGAGCATGGCCAGGGCGGGGCCGGGGCAGGGTCGAGGCAGGGCCGAAAGGGGCGGCGACGGGGCCGCAAGGGGCGGTGACGGGGCCGCTGGAGGCGGCGACGGGGTCGCGAAGGGGCTGCGAGGGGCCTGGAAGGGCGGCGACGGGCCGCTAGGGGCGGCGACGGGGCTGCTGGAGGCGACGACGGGGTCGATAAAGGCGGGGACGGGGCCGCGAAGGGGCCGTGAGGGGCCTGGAAGGGCGGCGACGGGCCGCTAGGGGCGGCGACGGGGCCGCGAAGGGGCCGCGAGGGGCCTGAAAGGTCGGCGACGAGGCCGTTAGGGGCGGCAACAGGGACGCGAAGGGACCGCGAGGGGCCTGGAAGGTCGGCGACGGGGCCGTTAGGGGCGGCGACAGGGCCGCGAAGGGGCCGCGAGGGGCCTGGAAGGTCGGCGACGGGGCCGATAGGGGTGGCGACGGGGCCGCTAAGGGTCGCGCGAGGGGCACGCCACGGGGCGTGCAGCACGCAGAGTAGCAGCGGAAGCAGTTCGGTGGGCCCATAGGCCAGGAGCGTAGATGCTCTGATAACATGTGAGAAATGAGAAATGAAGAAAAGAGGGTTTGCACTAGCAGCAGTTGGCATACATATAGAAAACCTTAATTGGGTTGTACTCGCTATAGAGTACCCCACTGCAGGCTAGACAATTATAACATTCTGACATGGCGTTCCCCTGAGCCCGCCAAGATGGCCACGGCTCGGGACATGCTGGCGAGTGCGGTCCACACGGAAGGTGGCGCGGTCCCCGAGCTCGGCACATGCTGGCGAGCGCGGACAACATGCAGTACGCCAGATCCGACAAGCTCATCGTGATGGCTCACCGCGTTTTCCCGAGCTGGCCGCTGATCTGACCACCTGGACATGCGGTGCGCCAAAGCTGTGAAGCTAACATCATGGCTCACCGCGTCAACGCCGCTGTGCTTGACTTGTTCGGGGTGAGTGTGAGTGTGGTCCCCTTCCTTTCTCCCATCCTTTCTCCCCTCCCTTGCCCACTCCACTCCCGCCGCCCTCCTCTGCTCTCCGCGTCGACGCGTGTGTTTCCATTTGACGAGCTGCTTGCTCGTTTGCTCGTGTGTTTCCGCGTCACTGACTGCCGCCTCCCGACGTCCCCTTCTCATCCTCCCTGCCCATCCGTCCCCCCATACATTGGAGCAGGATCGCAAGTCGCCAATGAAGCGTGCAGCGGTGATTCCATGGGGGCGGAGGCCAGCGAGCATGGCATGAGTCCGACCAACATCATTGCGCTCCGCGACCAGGTCAGTGGTCAGAGAGGCTCTGGTCAACGCAAGTCAACGTGAGGTCAACGCAGATCAATGCTGGTTTGGGTCGCGTTTAAGCCCCATGGGGACGGGGGTCAGCGAGCATGGCATGAGTCTTACCCACATCATTGCGCTCTGCGACCAGACCAGGTGGGTAACACGTTTTGATGAACACAGGGACAATGCATTGAAATGTCTGCCATGCTGGTTACGCACACTCACAGTGCAGCGTTAGTGCAACTGCATACGTGACTTTGATTTTCTTTCTCACCCGTCCTCGCCTGACCGACTGAACGGCCCCATCCCCCCCACCGTCCTTCACTGTCCTTCAGCTCTTGGACTACCAGCAATCGCGCATGCAGGCCATCCTGGTACTCGTGTGCCCAACCTCACGGTACTCGTGGGAGCGCTGGTCATGCCGCTTCCCTCATGAGCCTCGCCCCGCAACCCGCCTCCACCGGGCACATACTTGGCGCCCCGCTTCCTTCCACCGCCTCCCACCGCCTTCCACCGCCTTCCACCGCCTCCTCCGCCTCCTCCGCCTCCTCTGCCTCCACCGCCTCCACAGCTGCTGTCTGTGTGGATGCCCATGGGGCAGGGCCTTTCTCTACTGAGGGCTGTTGTTGCTGCTGCCGCCCGTGCTGTTGGCTCACTATCCATCTGCTGCTCCTGCTTTTGGTTGTACCTCTAACTGCTGAATGTTCATCCATCTGCTGCATTCCGTGGTGAGTGTGCCTGCTGAGTGAGCAAGTGACCCAGTTACTTGCTGCCCTGGTTGTGAGTGTGTTATGACTGCCTCATGTGGTTGTGAGTGTGTTATGACTGCCTCATGTGGTTGTGAGTGTGTTATGACTGCCTCATGTGGTTGTGAGTGTGTTATGACTGCCTCATGTGGTTGTGAGTGTGTTATGAATGCCTCATGCGGTTGTGAGTGTGTTATGACTGCCTGTGTTATGACTGCCTCATGTGGTTGTGAGTGTGTTATGACTGCCTCATGCGGTTGTGAGTGTGTTATGACTGCCTCATGTGGTTGTGAGTGTGTTATGACTGCCTCATGTGGTTGTGAGTGTGTTACGAGTGCCTCATGTGGTTGTGAGTGTGTTATGACTGCCCCATGTGGTTGTGAGTGTGTTATGACTGCCTCGTGTGGTTGTGAGTGTGTTATGACTGCCTCATGTGGTTGTGAGTGTGTTATGACTGCCTCATGCGGTTGTGAGTGTGTTATGACTGCCTCATGTGGTTGTGAGTGTGTTATGACTGCCTCATGTGGTTGTGAGTGTGTTACGAGTGCCTCGTGTGGTTGTGAGTGTGTTATGACTGCCTCATGTGGTTATGAGTGTGTTATGACTGCCTCATGTGGTGTGAGTGTGTTATGACTGCCTCATGTGGTTGTGAGTGTGTTATGACTGCCTCATGTGGTCGTGAGTGTGTTATGACTGCCTCATGTGGTTGTGAGTGTGTTACGAGTGCCTCGTGTGGTTGTGAGTGTGTTATGACTGCCTCATGTGGTTGTGAGTGTGTTACGAGTGCCTCGTGTGGTTGTGAGCGTGTTACGACTGCCTCATGTGGTTGTGAGTGTGTTATGACTGCCTCATGTGGTTGTGAGTGTGTTATGACTGCCTCATGTGGTTGTGAGTGTGTTATGACTGCCTCATGTGGTTGTGAGTGTGTTATGACTGCCTCATGTGGTTGTCAGTGTGTTACAAGTGCCTCATGTTGTTGTGAGTGTGTTATGACTGCCTCATGTGGTTGTGAGTGTGTTATGACGGCCTCATGTGGTTGTGAGTGTGTTATGATTGCCTCATGTGGTTGTGAGTGTGTTATGACTGCCTCATGTGGTTGTGAGTGTGTTATGACTGCCTCATGTGGTTGTGAGTGTGTTATGACTGCCTCATGTGGTTGTGAGTGTGTTATGACTGCCTCGTGTGGTTGTGAGTGTGTTATGACTGCCTCATGTGGTTGTGAGTGTGTTATGACTGCCTCATGTGGTTGTGAGTGTGTTATGACTGCCTCATGCGGTTGTGAGTGTGTTATGACTGCCTCATGTGGTTGTGAGTGTGTTATGACTGCCTCATGTGGTTGTGAGTGTGTTACGAGTGCCTCGTGTGGTTGTGAGTGTGTTATGACTGCCTCATGTGGTTGTGAGTGTGTTATGACTGCCTCATGTGGTTGTGAGTGATGGGCATCTCTCATCCATGCCATCAATGCTTACCCACTTGTTATCAGTCAATCTTATGCCACCATCTCCTGCCCGTGCTGTGCATGATGGGGTGCAGTGGAGGTGTTTGTGGCGCTAAGGCCGCGTCTATCAGGCAGCAACAAGAACCTCATCATCCCCGCCGTGAACACCATCGCCAACCTCGCAGACGCCATGGGCGCGCCTGTGGACAAGCACAGCTGCAGGGTGGTGTTGTGATGACAAGTGGTTTGGCTTGTCCACTGGGGCGCCCGGGTACCCGCCTTTCCTCAAACCAAACCATGCCGGCTTTCACTTCCCTCCATGTTCAGCCACTTACTCAGGCCTTCGTGGCTGTGCCCTTGGTCCCCTTGTTATGGCTGTGGCGCAGGTGGGTGCGCTGCAGATGCAGGCAGCACTGCAGGAGGCAGCGCTGCAGGAGGCAGCACTGCAGAACGAGCCACGCTTCGACCTCAACGAGTTCATCAATCTACGCTGTGCCTCACCATTCTGCCAGTTCTGGTGTGGGATTTGCACGGGTCATTTCTTGGGTGATTGGGATGCGAGCTGCACAAGCGATCGATGATGAATGCATCGACGATGATCGCCGTGAATCTGAGAAAGGTGACGCCATCGTTGGTATGAGGTGGCTCGAAGCAGTGGTGTACTGGAGAGACGGATCGGATCGGGAGGGATGACCGTGAATCCCAGCAAGGTGACGCGGCGCGCGGCGCGCGTTTCACGCGAGCACATACCGTGTAGTGTAGATTCGAGATTTGAAAGTAATGCTGAATCCGAGTCGCGCTGGATTTGTAGTGCGGGACGAGGAAAGGAGAATTTTCCTCAGTGTAAATAGCCAAGGCATTATTCTCCTTCGCCCGCTAACATGGAAAATCTCATGCTTTATCGCTGGCGAATCGCGACCGCAAGGGCATGGACTACTCTTGAGACTTTTGAGACGTTCAGTAGACGGGGAGTAGTGGAGGGGGAGTGAGACAGGGAGTGGCCATGAAGTGTCGTCGCCTGAAGATGAACGGGCATCGATATGGGAAATTGTTTAAGGGATATCGCCTGTAGAGGGTTCTCTAAGGGAGATTCAGAACCGTCACATGTGTGGTATTGGAAAAATGTTTGCAACACACCAACAATCATACTGATGCTCTAGAGCTGACGTTCACACTGTAGCGTATACTGCTTTACCGGTATGTCAAAACCAAGATATAAACAGAATTTATACTAGGCCGCTTCAACGACAGCACCAACCAACCAATGCCACCATCTAGAAACTAAACGTATCCATGCTTAATGTACGGTATGTACATGGCTGCATACTAGGTACACAACCATGCCAAAAAAGAATGGCCACCAACACTACACGTGACAGGCAGCAACTGACATTTGTTATCCTTCTTGATACCGGCACTTGTCTTCAGCTCCACCTTCCAGCTTGTGCTCTCCTGTGCAGCTGCTACAAGCTATCCTACAAGCAACGCTGTAGCATTGCCCGGTCATTCTCTAATGTATCCCTAGCATTGCCCCCCCGCTACGCCTCAGAAGGAGCAGTGTATGCCTGCGCCCCCACAACAGGCCCAGACAAGTTCCAGTCCAGAAGCTTCCTTCCTGACCCCCAGAAGCTTCCGAGGCTGAGCCCAATGATAGACATGAGCACAACAGAGACCGAGGCAGGCACCGTGTGGGTGGAGCCGAGGAACTGAGACGCCAGCAGCATGGCCAGCGTGCTGCTCTGCATGCCCCCGCATAGGGATAACGTCCTCGCCACGTCATCGCTCTGCGCCATTCCGGGGAGCTTCGCGGACCAGAACCCAGCGGCGAAGGACGCGAGGTGGAAGGCGAGCACAGGCGGCAGCAGCAGGAGGCCGCTCAGGCAGACGATTTGAGAGCGGTTGATGGCTAGCGGGCTGCCTATGCAGAGAGACGTGCAGACTATGGCTAGCAGCGGCATGATTGGTCGGATTTGATCGACGAATTTCCGTGCGTAGGTGTTCAGGATGAGGCCGAGGGAGACCGGGAGGATGACGACTTGCAGGATTGATTTGGCCATGGCTAGGAGGTCGACCGGGACGGCTGAGCCAATCAGGAGCGAGGTGAGGATGGGCGTGAGTGCCACGGAGGCGAAGGTGCTGAGGCTGGTGAGAACGATGCAGAGCGCCACGTCAGCCTTTGCCAGGTAGGACGCGTAGCTGGAGAGCTGCGCGCCGGAGACGCTGGCGGTGAGGAGGAAGCCCGCGGCGAACGCGGGCGGCAGGCGGAAGGAGGTGGCTATGGCGGCCGCGATGAGCGGCTTGACTGCATACTGCACTAGGAGGCCCAGGAGGACGGGGACGGGCCTGGCGGGGAGGAGGGGAGGAGTGGGGCGGAAAGCAGTGAGCAACGGTGCTAAAAGTGCTGGACAGCCAGAGTGGAGACAGTTGGAAGAGCGGGAATGGGAGACAGCTGACGGAGCCAGATGAGGAGGCATTTGATCTCATTCTATTGCAGCGGAGTGCGGAATGGGAGAAGCACATTGCAGCATGGAAAGAGGTGGTCAGCCATTCAAATCCAATCAATTCGCGCCTTACTTCTCAATGGCGGCCTTGAAGTCCTCGACGGAGAGCTGCACGCCGATGGAGAGCATGATGCCGCCCAGTGCGGGCGCGTAGTACTGCTTGCTGAACCACGCGAACGTCGCCGGCCACGTCAGCGCCGACACCGCCGTCGCCACCACCACGTACGGCAGCAGCTGCGACAGAAATTGACCCAGGTTAAAACCCTTGGTACCGCTCTGCACAGGCCGGGATTCCGCCAGCGGAGCTGCTCGGAAGGAGGTTTCTGAGAGGTTTCCTAGCCTCCGCATGGAGCCTACGTTGCTGTGGACGTGGGTGCATCCGGCAATCGTACACGCGAACTCGTCGCTGGGAGAACAGCTTTTCGCCGCGCCTGGCGCCGCATCCGGCGCCGCCATCAGCGGCATTGATCCCTCGGAACCACTCTGCCATCCTGCCTCGAACTCCGCGCGCTTTGACTCCGCATCGCTCTGGTCTCCGCCGGTCCCGCACTGCGACGCGTCTTCCTCCACGAATCCGCGCACCTCCTTCCGCCTATGCGCGGAAGAAACGGATGCTGCGCTCACGGAGGTCACGCCGATTTGGTTGCGCAATCGAGCCCAGTTAACACTTCCCTGGGTTGCACCTGCTACGCGTTTCGCGTCCCCGTATAGTCCCAGCTGCTCTCGTTGTGGGCCCGATGCGGCCGGGGTTGCCGACGTGGAACGGATGAGAGGGATTGCGCGCTCTGCTGGCAGATAATCATTGGCTGCTGAGTTGCAATGCGCATCGCCTTGGCTGCGAATGGTTACGAACGGCTGGCGAGACGAGGAACTACGCGCCGCTGGTTTGAAAGAGCGATTGACTGGAGAACGGGTGGAGAAACGGCACGATTCATGAGCTCCGAAGAGAAAAGGTCGCTGAAGATGGCACGCCATGGTAGAGAGCCTTCAGCGATATCGTATCTGACAAGTTTAATCGTTTATCGGTTTCAAAATTTAAGAACCCAACACGTGGTGGCGAGTACGAGCCGGAGAACCGCAGACAAGATCCTAACGCGAGGAGTCGACGGAGAGCAAAATGGGTCTTTGTGTGAAGGGATGATAGAAGCAAGTATACTCTTGTGCAATTCTTGGCTAACGCAATGGCTTCTATATGGGTGCTTATTTCCAGAGATAACCGAGAAGGAAGGCAGGTGCGGGCGGGCTGGGCAGTGGGCACCCTGGGGGGAGGGTGGGCCTGCCTTCCACTGTGCCTCCACTCGTGCCTTGGCCGCTGATGTGACGCTGCGCTGTCCTTGCCTTGGGCTTGGCTGGTTGGTGGGTGGATACGCGGAGAACGCGTGGTGCGGTGTGGCTCCTCGCATCCACATGCCATGATCCATCCGATGTTGGATGGGCAATGGATGGATGGATGTGGGCCTCCGCCGTGTCCTGCAATGGACGCCATCGATTCCTTCCACGAATCTGAGCCGCGGAAGATGCCGAAATACACTTCATGGAGTCGCAGTTGCCATGTCACCACCGCTGTTCACATCTAAGGTGCGGCTTGGAGAAAATCTCGCAGGCTCGTTGGATTAAATGTCCTGGTAGATCAAGCATTGTGATCCGTGGATAAAAAGCTGAACCAACGGTTTGAGCCAGTTCCGTGAGGCTCGTAGCTGTGAGCCCCACGTTATCTTCCACGTGGCATACACTCAAGGTTCAATAGGCACTTTACCCTCGCCTGAGCACATTGGTTGGTGCGCGAACCTGGATTCCTGGATATTGGTCATAAAGTCTGACTGACGGTTCGACGGCATTTGACGGTGTACCGTAGCAGAACTTGTAATGAGCACGTGGATGCATGTCAGTGGTGATTCATTCCAAGGAGTTTTCGAGATCCTTCTTTCCATCCAATACTGCAGTTGATCAGGATGCTCAAAAGCACCATTGACGTCTAGAACCTGATTGAACAGAACAGCCCTGGCGAATGCAAATTGCCGTCCGTCAAGTTTTTCCCACACAAGAGCGAGGGTATTGTGAGAAGGATTTCTGATAGAAACAGCATTCACAAGTTTCCCCATGTAGTAGTCATTCAATACATATCCACTAGAAGTGGCACACATGGCATTGATTTGCTCAACCACAATACATTCACTGCTGCCAAGTCACATACATGCCATCTGCTCTACTAGCAAACACACAACACTGTCCTGGTGCTTCACAAGTGTAAAAACGCGTTCAGAATGCAGAAGCTTTGGCAGAGTGTCTGCCGTCAGAACAGCTGCAGCACACCAAATAGGAACCAACATGCATTCAGGCCACTTCCCCACAACATCGTGAGCACAGACAGCCTCTATGAACACCTCAGCAGACGGAAGTGTGTGGCTTCACAAGCACACCTGCTCGTGCTGCAACTAGCGTGTTGTTGACCCAAGTCCACACCATGTGCATCTTCCCCAAACGAGTGAGAATGTTAACGATATGACACTCACCATAACACATCAACCAACTCATCCTGCGTGACTGCGTCGACACCAGCACTGCAAACCGCTGTTGCTGCAAGTATTGATGCAGGAGAGAGTGCACATAGTAATGGGGGAAGGAGACTAAGTGGGGAAAAGAGAAGAGCGGCAAAATTCATATGAACAGCGACTGACACTCAACAACCGTGAGACAAAATCTAATAACAGCTGCTTCTTAGAAACGGTTTTCTTGCAATTGCGGCTAGTAACCACGACCCGGTAACCACACCCGGCAGTAAGCAGGGGTCCCTCTGAGTATCTCTTACCTTCCCCCTCTGAACAGTCTTACCTTCTTCTCCCCCATGCCCTGGTCTCCCTTCCCACACCCAATGGAGTCCACAGGTAAATGCCTCCACCATACCCCTCCGTATCTTCTTGACTGCCGCCACCACACCCTACCCCTCCTCACCCCCCCCTCCTCACCCCCCCCTCTTCACCTGCCCGCCAGAACTTCCGCTACTTGGCCACAAGCGTTTCTCAGCTGCTACACATGATCCTTTACGTCCCATGTAGTTATTGTCCTCGTTACTTTCCACGTCCTGAACGATAATGGAAAGCGTCCTCCCCCCACGTCCTCCCCGCACGTCCTCCCCGCGCGTCCTCCCCCCAGGTCCTCCCCCCGCGTCCTCCCCCCAGGTCCTCCCCCCGCGTCCTCCCCCCGCGTCCTCCCCCCGCGTCCTCCCCCCGCGTCCTCCCCCCGCGTCCTCCCCCCGCGTCCTCCCCCCGCGTCCTCCCCCCGCGTCCTCCCCCCACGTCCTTGCCCCACATCCTTGTCCCGCGTGCATGCCTGCTGTGTCATCGTGTCCCCCTTCGCCGCGCACTCCGTCTCGAACTTAAATTCTCCCCTAAATGCAAGTCTCTGCCGGTCAACCGTCCGCTGCGAACCCCCTCAGTCTGCAATGGCTCGACACTCTGCAAATTTCTCGTGTACGAAGCGAAGATACTCGTACATGGACGCGCGTTTGAGCGCGATACGCGCGCGGGCAGAGGAGACGAGGAGGGAAAGGGAACGCGATGCTGCGCTGCAGTCGAGCATTGGGCGCGGAGCGGACGCTAAGCAGGCTCTACGACGCGACCTTCACACCGTGTCGTGCGCTGCACGCGTGCAAATCGCGGCAACTGCAGGACTACTGAGCACTCGCACTGCTGTACGCGGTGCATCATGAAAGGGAAACGCAACCATGATAAAGCCAGCCATGATGAGCCGACTCGTGGCTGGTGACGACAAACTGGCGGAAATGAGAATATTGTCGCGGGAGTGGATCCTTTAGCAACGCCACAGAAGGAGGACGAAGGTAAAAAACAACTAATACGGCCAAGGAGAAAGGACGACGGCAAAAAAGGACGCACGGAGAGAAAAAGGGTGGTGAATGGTCTCGTGGCCCGAGCCTGCGAGGGAAACTCCGGCCGCGCACTCAGCCTCGCTGTCCCTCCACCGCTGGGAGCGGGGAGTTTTCGCTGCTCGGTCTCCCGCCTTACGCGGTGCCCCCCTCTCTAACCGCCACGTCACCATTCCTTCCGGAAGGGTACCGCTGCAGACTCTCAGCTTGGAGCGGACGAGTCATCGATGTGGCAAGCCGAGGGTCTCGCAGGTGTGCGACAATCCCAAGATTTGGCCCCCGCTCGGGTTACAGTCAGGCGCAACCCTGACCGGCGTGTGATGCAGGAGAAAATTGAGAATATGATGTCTTCGGGAATGCCAAGAAGTTATCAGTGGTCCCATGTTGGCCGACGTATTCCTAATGCCAGCTGTATGCAGCAGACGAGCTGGTTGGAAATCGCACAGCTGGCCAACAAAAGCCCCCCTGATAAAGTTTGAATGCGTGCTGCTGTTTCTACATAGACAAGCTGGATGTACTATGGCGTTTACATAAATATTTCTTCTGAATCCTGAAGGAAGAATGGCAAAGGCGTGCTTGCATCCTACACTACACCAAGTCCATAGAAACATTCTACGTATCTGACCTCGGAGAGGCAGCCCCGGAAGACACAGACGAGCTAGTCCTAGAAGGCACAACCGAGGCAGTTCTGGAAGGAACACTAGAGCTATTCCTGGTCCCTGGATGATACAACCGAGCTTGGCGCCGTTGAACGCATCAACCCCATGCCTGGCAAAAGCCCCGGGTTCAAAACGTCGCGCCTGGGGGACCTAGGGTCAGAGGTGAGCGCGAGGTGGTGGTTACCACTGGTGAGGGTTACCTGCTGGCCTGCCATGTGACCGGCGGCAAGCACCGGGGGAGGGCAGGAGATGCCGTTGCGAGGCGGGGAGAAGACGAGCGGGAGAAACTCCTCCGTGTCGCACGCAAAGCGCGAGTTGCGGAAATGTTCTTCCAGCGCCGCGCAACCCTGCATGTGGAACAAATTGAATGTGAATGCCATGGTCAGCAAGACAAGCAAATACCAAAGTGGCTTGGCACGTGAATCTCAAAGGCAACGCAGCCATGGCTAGACACTGGCAAGAGCAGCCATATACATATTGACCTCACCCCACCATGTGCAGAGCACAACGCACCTGCACGCGCGCGTAGGAGATGCGGCAGACCTTGCGCGAGTTGAAGGCCTCCCACGGCTGCAGGTGGAAGGCACGGAACAGCCGCAGCGCCGCCGTCACCGTTGTCAGATTCACAAACGCGTACCCCAGGTTGCACCGGTTCCTGAAAGCAGTGCAGAGCGGTCATGAGCAGTGAGGGGTGGGAGCGGAGGAATAAATGGGTGGATACACACACATGGAAAGCACGCACACGAGTACAAGCATGAGCATAATCAACGAAATCGATTGGAAGGATCACTCACTTAAAGTCAATGGGAAGGTACACAAAGTCATAAGCAGAGAGCGGCTCCCATTGCTCCTCCTCCTCCCCACTCCCCCCACTGCCACCACTGCTGCCACTGTCACTGCCCGCATCACTGCCATTGCTCCCATCTCCATCGGTACAACCAGCAGCAGCAGCAGCAGATTCACCACCATCACCACCATCATCACCACCTGCACCACAGCCATCAACACGAGCACCACTCCTGCCTCGTGCTCCACCTCCTCCCACCGCGTGCCCTCCACCCCAGGGCCGACAGGCGGGCTGGGAGTTGCAGTGCAGGCAGTGGGCGTCCAGCAGCGCGAGCAGCATGGCCTGGTTGTAGCGGTTGGGAATGTTGCGCACCATCACCGTCGTCCTCGTGCCGTCCCGCCGCCCCCTCGCTGCCCCCTCGCCCACCTGACTTCCCACCTGAACCCCCACCTGAGCACCCTCCTCTCCGGCGTCATTTGCACCTCCTCCCTTCACCTCTTCTTCCTTTTCCGTTGTATCTTCCTCTTCTCCTATTGCCTTCTCCCCTTTCCCCATCGCCACACCACTGCACTCTGCACGCGTGACACTCACATGCGGCACCACCACCCTCCCTGAGCCCCCAACAACACCCCCATAATCCCGTGAGGCAGTCAAACCTGTGGAGTCAGTCAACCCAGTCAACCCAGTCTGGACGAGATCTGTCAAGCATGCCAGAGGGCGAGGCGCCTCTGCCCTCCTGCCCACCTTCTCCACGCCTGAGCTATCCCCCTCCTCTGCAGCTGCGGCGGTTAGACGAGTGCCACGTGTCCTTCCATACTGGTGCCACCTGCCTGCTGCTGACGTGGCAGCCAACTGGGCGGCCTCGCTCCTGGCCGCCGCTGCTGCTGCCTCCTCCACAAACGCGAACTGGGCACGAGACGGAGGGGGAAAGAGAAGAGGTGGGAAGAGGAGAGGAGTCAGGAAAGAAGGGCAAGGAAGGAGGGACAGGGGACAGAATGAGCGAAGGAGGTACAAGGAGACCAACAGCAAGGCGAATGGGACGACAACAGCTAGGCTAGTCGTCAACAGCTAGGCTAGTCGTCAACAGCTAGGCTAGTCGTCGTTATGGTCATTCTCACAATCATCATGAGCTACAGCAGTTTCCTACCTCTGCCATGTCATCTTCGTCTCCCCGCATCGCCCGCTGCCCCTCCCCATGACCATGCCCATGCACACGCCCATGGGCATGTGAACGACCGTGGGCATGGGCATGGGCATGGGCATGGGCAGGCGAGTGTGCATGTGAATGGGTATGTCGGTACTGTTGGTGCCCACCCATTCCTGAGGCACCCCAATCCTCCACCCAGCCCTGCCTTGCATTCCCCCCCATCGCTTCTCCCCTCCCTGCTCCTCCCCCCATCCACATTCCGCCCATGCCTCCGTGTTCTCCCCTTCCCCCCCCTCCCCCCGTTCCCCCCCTCCCTTGCGCCATGGGCATGTTCCAATGCATCATCATCTGCCCGGGACGGGCAGATGGAAACATTCCAGCTGCCGCCCCGACGATTCCTATTGGAGGAAAACCCACGCCCATGGGTGTTGGTGTAGCATGGCCGTACATAGCAAACCCAGTAGAGGCAGTGGGGGTAGGCGGGCCAGCAGGGTTGGCAAACGCAGGGGCAGCAGCAGCTGCAGCGGCAGAAGCATGGGAGGCACTTGCAGTGGGGGTGGCAGGGAATCGGGGAGAGGAGGAGAGAGACGTGGGGAATGAAACAGCAGGAGACGCCCCCCCAGCAGATATTGCAGCCAGGGAAAGATGACTGGGAGCAGACGAAGGAGGGGGAGGAGGAGGAGGAGGAGGCGGCAGAAGAGGTACAAGGGGAGAATGCGCGGCATGGTCAGAAGGGAAGGGCAGTGGAAGTGGAGGAGGGTAGGGGAGATAAGCAGAGGATGCAGCCCCAGCAGGTGGGAGATATGGCATGCCTGGGGCAAAGTGGTAGGCATACTGGGGAGGGCCGTGGCTGTGTGTGTGAGGTGCGGAGGGCAGGGCGTGGGGCATGAGGAGCATGAGGTGGGAGTGAGCGTGTGGGTAAGCAGTGTGGGGATGCTGCAGCAGAGGCACCGAGACAGGGGCGTGAGGAGGCTCGTATGGCCCGGCATACTGCTGCTGCTGCTGCTGCTGCTGCTGCTGCTGCTGCTGCTGCTGATTTTGCTGCTGATACTGCTGTTGATACTGCTGTTCATACTGCTGCTGCTGGTGTTGGTACTGTTGCTGCTGCTGCTGCCCCTCATGCATATACCGCCCCTCGTGGGCTCCTTGCACGTGCTGCCACTCGTGCTGACCCCCCCAGGCCTGTGTGGCCTGCGGGCTCAGGTTCTGAAGAGGCGCGGCCACACGTGGTTCAACCAACGGCTGAGCCAAGGGTGGTTGGACGAAGGTAGGGGGGGGTGGGAATGGAGGGCGGAACCAGGTGGCTGCTGGTGTGACTACTGGTGTAGATGCTGAAGCAGGTGCGGGTGTGGCTGTAGGATCAGCAGTGGAGACATGTGCCTGGGGATGGTGAGAATAGTTGTACCCAATGTCGCCAGTGCTGCCACTGCCATGCCCTTGCTGCCTGTATGCATGCGAGAGGGCAGAATCCGGTGTAGTGTGCAGGGGCGCGAGAGGCAGAGGGGTCACAGAGGAGGCTTGCCAGTGCCAGCCGGGAGGGAGGCTGCTGCCACGGCTGCTGGCGCTCCTGCTGGCGCTGCTGCTGCCACCGCCACCGCTGCTACCAGTGCAACTGCCACTCGTATCTGACCTCCACGTGTCTGGCGAGCTCTGGGCGCTCGCTGTGGCGCTGCTCATGGGCGTGCTGGTGTTAAGTGCGGTAGTGATGGGTGCGGTGGTGATGGGTGCACTGGTGATGGGTGCACTGGTGTCGGGTGCGGTAGTGATGGGTGCACTGGCAGTAGCGATGGGTGCACTAGTAGCTGGAGTAGTGTTGTCTGGGTTGCCGTCCCCTGACGTGCATTCTTCGCCAGGAGATGAGAGAGGGGCCAGCTCTTCTTGGGTCAGCGATGCTGACTCATCAGAATGCCCGCCACCTCTTGACCTGGCGCTCTCCCCTCCACTCTCCCCTCCATTCTCTCCCTCTCGCTGTCCTGCTGAACAGCCCTCCTTCACCACTGCATTCTCTGCCGCTTTTCTTTCCTCCTCTACCCCCTTTCCCTCCTCCTCTCCCCCTTCCACATCAGCACCTGCTGCTAACTCGGCTTCAAAACATCCTCCAGAAGCTTCATCAGAAACTTCCACGGCTCTACCCCCTAGCATTTCCTTTAATACCTTCTCTGCTTCCTTTAATACCTTCTCACCTTCCCTCAATACATTCTCTCCTTCCTTTAACACCTTCGCACAGTCGCCTGTAACCTGCTCCTCTACGGGGGCTACTCCATCCGTCTCTCTTGCTGATTCCCCCCTGGTGCCGTCTGGACCAGGCGTGGATCCTGATGGCAGCAACCCATCTGCACCCATCTCCCCCCTGCCACCCCTGCTCTCCACCCCTGGGCTACTCAAGTCAGGGCTGTCACACCGGGGAGCTTCTGGAGAACCACCGCATTCGGAAGCAGCACGAGCAGCAGCAGTGAAACTGGATTCAGTAGCAGGGATGGCCCCTTCCGGAGGCTGTGACTCATGCTGGGGCGCGGCTGAATCATGCCGGTGCGAGCCTGGTATGTCTGTAATACGCGGAGAATCAGGGCTAGGCTGGGTGGGAGTGTGCACGGGGGAGTGCGACGAGCTGCTGCTAGCAGTCGATGTGTGAGACGGCGGGTCCGATCCACATGAGGGAGTGTTCAAAGACGCCTGACTCGATGAGCTGCTGCCGCCTCTGCTGCCGCCTATGCTGCCGCTCATGCTGTCACCCCTACCGCCACCACTCCTGCTGCTGCCCCTGGTGTCACTCCCGCTGTGGGTGAGAGCACCGAATGCGGGGCTCCTTCCTTTCCCACGTGAAGACCATTCCGTGCGCCCACGCCCCTGCCATGCATCCACACCTCTTGATCCCACTGCTCCTACAGCTCTCGATCCTCCTGCCGTTCCAACTGCATCTGTCATGACTCCTTGGCGTGCAAACTCGATCTTTATCCGCCTGCCCGCCAGCTCTGTTCCGGTCAGCTTCTGCACCGCATGAGCTGCTGCCCGGATGTCAAAAAACTCCACAAGGCGATGAAGCTTCTTGGAAAGAACTGCTCTGACCTCCTTAACGTCTCCTGCAACGCAAAGAAAACAAAGAGAGAGTGGGAGGAAGCACGAGGAACAGCGGATGTGATGGTAAGGAACAGAGCGATTCACACATGACTGAGGAGACCCAAAGAACGTGGACGAAGCGGATGCGTGATCCAGATCCTAGAGGAAATCCAATCCAATCACTGCAAAACTCAAGAAACCTTTGTGAACCCCAGCACGTACCGCATGTTGCAAAGAGGGCACGCAGTGAGTCCATAGACACAGAGGGCTCAACGTTCCGCACCACCACGCACCCGTTACCACCGTCCCACGCCCCTCCCTGCTGCTCATTCGCCCCCTGCCATAGTCCTCCTTGCCTGCGCTGAAGCTGCTGCCTTAACTGCTGCTGCTGCTGCTGCTGCTGGTGGTGCTGCTGAGGCCCCTGCGACTTCTGTTGCTGGTGACGCCTCTGCACCGCACCGAACCTCCCTTCACCGCCTCCACCATCCGCCCCACCTCCTCCAAACCCCCTCCCAAGCCCGGCACCCTTCCCCTCTCCCGCCCACGCCCCGCCCTCCCCATCAGGATCCACCGCTTGAGCCCACACCACCCACCCAGCAACCAACCCCAGCCCTTTCAGCGGCACAGGCTCGTTCGGCAGGGGCCGGTAGGGGTCCTGGATGATCTTCTCAGGGGGTTCCCTGGTGTGGATCTGGCGCAGGCGGAGCAGGATGCGGTGGTGTGTGCGCTGCTGCTGCAGCCAGTGCTGCTGCTGCACGTCCCTCAGAGCTGCCTTGGCATGGCGCAGGTCGTAAAAATGTGCCGTAGCCACGCCATCCCAGCGGCGGGACAAGTCGAGGAACCTGGAAACAGGAGAGGAGAGCGGATGGGGCAGGGCAGAGGGTGGTGCAGGGAAACACAGAGGGACGCACGGGGTGAACCGGGTGCCAGACGCTACTGCTGCTGTTGCAGCCAGTGCTGCTGCTGGATGTCCCGCTTCGCAAGCTGAGAAAACAAGAAAACCTCAAACGAGCACCTTCGCAAGGAATGATGAAGTGATGCATGATAACGTGGTGAAGGAGAGAACGGATAGGAGAGTGCACGGCGCTCAAGCTGAGCGCTTATTCTCGAACAACCCAATCCAGCTCACCTCAAAGGACCCCACGTTCTCTCTATCTCTTGCGCCAGAACGGCGTCAGGTAGTTGTTCAGGTGGCGGCAACAGAGAGAGCATGATCGCCCGGGACTCTCTGTCGTCTGCTGTAGCCAAGGGTGTGGGGGGCGTGGGAGGAGGAGGAGGCACCAAACTTTCCCCCATTTCATACCCCATATAAGGAGCCCTGAAACCCACGTGTGCAGGCAATGGTGCCTGTGACTGTACATGTAAGAGAGGGTTAGTATGCACAAACGGTTGTGAGTATAGCGGTGCTTGCTGTGACTGCAATGGCTCCTGTGGATGTATGAAGTATGCAGAAGGAGCCCCTTCCTCCTGCTGCTGCTGCTGCTGCTGCTGCTGCTGCTGCTGCTGAAAAGGAGCGGGATGATACTGTATAGTGTGACTGTAAGGAGCGCTGTACATAGCAGTCACGTTGTATGGTGCAGTAGCAGGAAAGGCGTGCTGCAAGGAAGCCGCGAACGCAGTACCGGCAGCAGCAGCGTCAGAAGAAGCACCATAACCAGAGGGGTCAGTAACAGCAGCACCAGCAGCAGCCGCGGAAGATGAACGAGAAGCATTACCACCCAAAAAATGTGAGTCGGAATAAACGCATGATGCATTTACAGTGAAAAATTTCACGTCCTCCATGCTCCCCTGCTTGCTGCTCCCAGAGCTGCTGCTCCTGCTGCCTCCACCCTGCCTTCCACGGATATTCCTCTCCCCCCTTCCACTCCAACCCCGCTCCCACCAACTGTTGCCACGTGGAGGCACGGGGGAGGACCTCCGAGGGCCTATAGGAACCACCTGGGAAATTGCCGGCAATGGACGGCTAAGATTCAAGCCAGGAATCGAGCTGCCGGTAACGAGGGAACGAATGAGAGGAGGAACCACAAACGAAGCGGATGAAGCGGCGGCACCAGCGGTGACCGCAGAGACATCCGCAGCGGCAGTGGAGCTGAGAGGGGTGTAGTCAGGTAAATAAGGTGTCGCAGCGACTGCTGATGGGGAAGGCGCGAAGGACGGGGTGAATTCAGCGGCGTTGGGATCAAGAGACATCTTCTTAAACGCGAGCTCCGAATCGGAGTGCAAGGACTGAGTTTCTGCTGTTCCGGAAACGTCTCTATCACACTCTGCTCCGACGGTTTCTGATGTCGCTGCTTGCTCTCCGTTCTCTCCGTTTTCTCCGTTAATTGATTTCTCTGCTGCCTCTGACACGGACACAACCTCGGGTGCATCCATCAAGTCCGAGACAACAGACTCCTCTTCTCGCTGCTTCCCGTCCCCTGTAGCCTCGATGATACCTCCGCTCCGTGCCTCTGCTGCTGCTCCTTCTTCCCCAGGAGTCTCCCAACGCGCACTCTCGCTCAGGCGATGAGTCAAAGGCGGACTTCCACTAAGAGCGGCTCCATCGTCGTCCCGAGCCTCAGCCTGCGAACAAGGCTCAGTTGGACGGGACATTTGCGGAGCTATTTCGCCGCTTTCCGCAGTCGATTTGGACGCGCGATCCTGAACTTCCATGTCGCCGTCGCAGCCAGAAGCATCACCCGCGATTAGCTGTTTTCTTGGCAGCAATCCGTTCCGCGGCGCAGCTTCCAACACGGCCTTCCAAGAACGCTCGTTGACCGACGCAGCTAAGCTTTCCGTAGCAACCCTACAACCCGAGGAGGAGAGCCTAGTAGTCCCTCGTATATAATTTTCCCTAGCGGTGCTTAGCGAGAACCCACTTTCGGTACTATCACTTAACGTCGTCACACTATTGGATGCTCTAAGAACGACTCTCGGCGCCGAGCCCTTGGTACCGGGAGGCGCTATAGCCATGTCCAGACATGGATATGAGATTCAGCGATGTTCCTCTAGCTTCTTCCGGGATCATAATACCTCTAGAAGTCTAGAAGCATTCCGCATGAACCATGACGGTTGAAAAATGACCTTCAACAGAGGCGGAAAGCTGCACCGAGGAGGGGAAGCTGGCCTTAGAACCGCTCATGGCGCTGGAACATCATAGCCATAATTCCACGCGTGTGCACAATGAAGTTGCATGATGGATGATGCCTCTGCACTGCTGAGAGGAACCGACGATGTCGGCTGTGGAAAGAAAATTCCTCCAAACATCAGCAGCACGTAGCAGCAGAACAGGGCTGCTTTGGTCTCTGCTACTTAACTCCAACCGTGGATCTTCGTTCCCTTCGCTTCAAGCACATTTGTGAAACGCGATGCCCTGCACAGCCTTATCCCCTCCATTCTCGGGATCGTCTCGTAAAGACCTCGAGATTTTCGAGCTTCAGCCGCCAAACAAAGTCTCCTCCAGGTTGTCGAGACAGCAACGTAACCAACAATCTTGCATCCATCAGGGGCGAAGCCGGGCCAGGTATGAGAGGTGAAAAAGGCGGTGCAGAATGCAGGGCGTACCGAGCCGAAAAGGACGTGCGGACGGCTGGATGGGGTCAATTGCCAAGCTTTCCCGCCACGTGTTATCATCCCGGCGGTCCTTTTCAGCTTTGGCAGGACGCCCTGTGAAAACCTTGGTCCCAGCCAGCCTAACCTTCCAGTCGCATCGCTCTGCGATCCGCTGCCAAATCTCTCTGATCTGATGGCAGCACATCATGAAACCGCACGGTGACCCCAGTCTGCCCATCAAAAGTAACACCGTAATCTGGGCGAAGAATATTTCCGGTCGCCCACCGTCATTTTCTAGTACGGCCATCAGGCGGAGATTGCTTGCGGAAGAGGTGCAGGGTAACATCATCGCAACTTCGAAGCCCGAAGCCCAACGAGAATCCGTGTGACGTGGTTCCGCTTCGCCCATGCGTGGATTGAGACAAAAGTTGACGTGTCGAGGGCGAATCCACGCAGATTGCTTCTGCCCCACGTTCACCACGCCGTCAACACCTGCTTCTGCGTATAAGCAGATCCGAATACACTACAAACAGGCCTATGAAGGTGCGTCCATTTTTTACACATGGATGGACATAATTTGTTCTCCGCATGTTGCAGCCCAAAATTGTTGAGAAAACATAGCTTGTAGACTGTGTCTTCCTTCACCATAAATCGCCAAGCTTTCCTTCCAAATCGTAATCCTCATCCTCTTCATCGACCAACTCATCTCCCAAGTCAACCTCTCCTTCAGCTCTTTCCCCCTTAGACTGAGAGCTACCACTGCGAACCAGGATAATACCATCGTCAGCATCATCAGCCAGTGTAGCATCAGGCGCGTGTCCAACCTTCTCCTCCTCCACAACAGCTGCAGCAGGAGCAGAAACGGGAGCAGTGGCCGCAACGGGGCCAACAGCCTTCTCCACATCCTCATTTTCAGAGCCTGCAGCCTCTGTGCCTGCTGCTGTTGCTTCTCCGCCTGTTGCTTCTGCTCCAGTGCCTGACACTTCTGCTCCAGTGCCTTCCCCCATGCGTGCCGCTTTCGTCCCAACTTCCCCGCCACCACGCCCACTCAGCACCCTCGTCAGCCTCCTGGTCTTACCCACATTCCCTTCACCCTGCCCACCTGTCACATCCACTCGCGCCACTCTCCTCTGCCTCTCACCAGCAGCCCTCTCCTGCTGTGCCCCACTACCAGCTACCCCACCATCATCCCCACCCCCCTCATCGCTCGCTCGCTTGCGCTTGAGAAGCTCTGAGAGCGGCCGAGGGCCCGAGAACAGCCCACCTGCTCCGCCAGCTGTCACAGGAGCTGCCTTGCCAGCTGTTGCAGTAACTGCCTTGCCAGCTGTTGCAGTAACTGCCTTCCCAGCTGTCGCACTTGCCGCCTTGCCAGCTGTCGCACTGGCCGCCTTGCCAGCTGTCGCACTGGCCGCCTTGCCAGCTGTCGCACTAGCTGCTTCACGACTACCATTCGTAGGATTCTGCGGTGCTGTTGTCTGCGCTCTCTCGCCAGCAGCCTTAGCAGCAGATCCAGCTGTAGCAGCCCTAACGAGCTGTGCCTTGGGTCTTGATTGAATCGCACTGGCTGGGTCTGCTCCTGCTGCTCCGGTACCCCTGCTGGCGCCCGGTGCTCCAGGGGATGCTGATGATGCTGATGCTGATGGCACCGCATCTGCCCCCTGGGCTTTCCTCTTCTCTGCCAGTATCTCTGCCAGACTTCTCGGTCGAAACCCGCCTTCTCCCCCTCCTCCTGCTCCTGATGAGTTGCCGACCTTCACAACAGCAGCAGGGGTGGCAGCAGCAGCAGTGGCAGGAGCAGTAGCAGCAGCTGGGGGAGCAGTGGTAGCAGCAACGGCACCAACCCTGGGACCGTCAGAGCCGCCTCCTGCCCTGACTACATTCGCCTTCCCCACAGGTCCTGACAACCTGGCAGCTAGTCGGTTCTTGACACCTGTCACGCCTGCACTGTTCACAGCACCGTTCCCTTCCCTGACGCCAAGCCCGTTGGCTTCTGCCAATGAGCCGGCACGAGTATGCACACCGGCAGCACGGCCAGCAGGAGCAGCAGCAGCAGCAGCCCCACCGCCCATGGCAGCAGGGCGAGCATCAGCACCAACACCAGTAGTAGTCACTGTACTAGCAGCACCACCCAGGCGCCTCTTCACTGACAATCTACCATCCCCTGCCGAGCCTCCGCCACCGATTGCCGAACCTTCCAAACCTCTAACAGGCTCGGCAAGTCTGCCTTGCAACCGGCCTACCCCAGCCTGCCCCTGCCTGGTCGTATCCTGTTCTGACTGAGCCCTTGCACGCCCCGAACCTATAACCTGAACCCCTGGAACGGATTCAGGCTCGGGCCGGACCCGTTTCAGGTCCCTCCTCCCTGGTGGAATTTCAGGGAGGGACGAGGTAGCCTTCACAAGCTGGCGAATATCAGCTGCCCGAGAGACATGAGATTGGGAAGCAGGGAGGGAAGGCGCCTGCACCACACGTTGAGAGGACGCTGAGGCGCCATCCACTCGCGCACGAATCACTAACCCCTGCGCTACAGCCCTTGCTGGAACCTGTCCTTGCTGCTGCTGCGTCTGCTGCTGTGGCTGAAGCTGCTGTTGATGACCTTGTTGCTGTTGGACAGGCAGAGAGCGAGCAGTGGTGGCAACGACTCTCCCAGCAGTACTGTCAGTGCTGCTCCCAACGGCCACCACCAGCCTACGACCCTTCAGAGGAGGGTTTGTTACTGAAGAGGTGATGTTGTCAGGTGCTGCAGCCAGAGAGGGGGCGGCATTGCTGGCTACTCTGCCTGTGCCTGCTCGGGTTCCTCTCCCTGCTCCTGCTGCCGCTACCGCTGGAGTGCCGCCGGGTGCTGCGAACACGCCTGAGACGCAATGGCCAAGCAAACGAGAGGAATGGCAAACATCTGTGAAGGAGGAGCTCAAACCCAAATGCTCTAGGAGATGCACACAAAGAGTTTTGAGAAAATCTAGTGCGGAATTCTTACCTCGCATGGGAGATGGAGGCAAATCAGGCACCTTCGCCCCACCATGTGCCACGTGCTGCTGAGCGGACCTTTCCCCCACAAATCGTCCTCTAAGCCCAACGTTACCCTCCTCCCCTCGCCCTCTACTGCCTCCCTCTCTTCTCCCTGCTTCCGCACCCAAACCCCTTGGCCCAGGGCCTGGCCCTAGTGCTGCTGTGGCGGCAGCAGCGGCTGCTGCAGCTGCTTCCTCCATCACCGCCCGCACCCCCACTGCCCGCCCGCGCCCCTGCACCCTTTGCCCATGCTGAGTCATCAGGTGCCCCTGCTGACCTGGAGCTTGACTAGGGTGACCTGGAGTGTGACCAATGGCACGATCATAACCACGGGGCTGGGCGGCTGGCTGAATCTGCTGCTGTTGATGCTGCCTGTTCTGGTGGTTGAAGTGATGGTGATTCCGCTGCTGCTCCTGCCATTGCTGTTGCTGCTGCTGCTGTTGCTGCCACTCCTGTTGTCCCTGCCCCTGCCACTGCTGCTGCTGCTGCTGCTGCTGCTGTTGATGATGATAATGCTGCTGCTGATGGTCGTGGTGGTGCGGATGTTGTTGCTGCTGCTCCTCATAAGCCACATCTGCAGAACCCCTCGCAAACCCCCTCCCTACTCCAAACGCTGAAGCTGTTGGCAGCATTGGACGACCATCTCTGCCCCCACCTGGAACCCCTCTTTCCCCTGTCTGCCCTGATCCACTCCCAGCACCAAAGACACCCCAACCTGCACCCGGTCCCACCCTTCCCCTCTCCTCAGCCCTCCTTCCGCCTGTCCCTGCATCAAATTGTTCGTCCCACCCCCCAGGTGCTCCTGCCTCCTCCTCTGCCACTCGACCCGTACCTCTACCCATACCTCTAACCGAGCCTCTATCCGAGCCTCTCCCGAGCTCCCTTTCCACTCCAGCAGCAGCGGCAGCGCCAGGAGTCCGGCCAGAGAGAGGGTCAGCAGCAGCAGTGGTAGCTTCAGCAGAAGCAGGACTAGCAGCAGCAGCAACAGTTGTAGCGGCGGCAGGAGCAGGCGCAATGGCGTCAGGGGGGGAGGTCTCGTGGCGGAAGGGGCAGAGTTCCCCCTTGGCGCACGCGCCCCGGGCGAAGAAGAAGCAGGGCGTGCGCGACTTTTCCTCCGCCAGGGGGAACGCGGGCGGGGGGGCTGCGCCAGGCGGCCTGCCTAGAGGCTGCCAGGGATATGCGGGAGAGGGAAGGAGGCGGAAGAGGGAAATACCATGGATTTACTGATACCAAATTGAATGGCTGGGGTTGCTGATACCAATTTGTGCGGAATAGCATGGTTGTACGAAGTCAACAAGATTAGCAGGCCTCGAAGCGAAGCAATAAAGAGAAGCGGGAACCGATCCGTACCGGATGCCTGAAGGCGCAGTCGGCCTTGTTGCACCCCCAACTCATCCAGTAGTAGCAGTCGCGCGGGTTCCGCCTCGCTGCTTCGGAATGGCGAAACTCGCATGTCGCTCCCTGCGCGGATAGTCACAGAGGAACGGAAATTAAGAATTTCTCGCACAATGACAGATAAATTTCAATTGAAACATTAAGATACCTCATGAGCTTGTCTGTCTCTCAAGCTAATCACCTTCTTGCACATTAGCGGCGATGCGAGAAAAAAGATGCAGTCTGTTCGCGCTTTAACCAACAACGCGTCATCTTCCTCCGCTGCCGTAGCATCCCCTTCGAGATTGCCGTTATTTCCGATAATGTCGTCTCCAGCCTGACCCGCGTGCCTCTCCATCCTAGGCTCGCGATTAATCCTTCAGCAGACACGACGATCGCCAGCTCTTCAGTGCAAAAAGACAGAGGGAAAATTCAGTGCGGAAATCTAGGCGCATCCGCTGGAATAAGCATGCGTCTATAATATAGTGCATGTTTGAGGTGTTCAGTTGCCGCCATGTCTGAACTGATCGGCTCAGGAGTGTTGTGGCCATTGAGTGGTCATTGTGAAGTGTGGAAGATGCGGACTGAAACATAGATACCGATTTATAGCTACTCGTGATCTACTTTATGGATGCTCTCTAAAACAAATAGAAAGGCCTTCAGAACCCAAGTAAACCATCATTCAGCGTGGAAGTGAGGAACGTTATAGCGGAGTTCAATCGGGCCGGGGAGGTCCAAGTCCTGGTCAACCTTCTCGTCGTCTCTGCGCGCACCAGACAAACTCAACCTCTGCGCTGCGCCTAACCCGCGCGGGGTTTGACTCAGCTCCCCCCGAAAAGCCAACCTCCGCACAGACGGTTTCCGCTGGTCCAATCGGGTCAGCTGGGGCGATATCCACTCTCCGCATACGCTAGCAAGGAATCTGCGGAGGGGGGTGAGCAGTGCTGTTTCGGAGCAGAATGCGCTTTGCGCAACGACTTGGTTTTCCGCGCACACTGCACTGCACTGCACTGCACTGCACTGCACTGCACTGCACTGCACTGCACTGCATGCTCCGTGTGAGGAGGAGTCCGGGGGGAAACTGTGGCTGCGCTACTGCTGGAGTGGAGAGAGACTCCGCTGAGCACGACGAGCAGTGGCGGCAGGCTCTTGGGCTGGGTTGTCTTGGAAAGAGTTTTCCGCTGATTTCACGTTTGTCATTCATTTGACCTAGTAATTTTAGTTAGCCTTCGTCTTTCACTCCTGTTTAGTGGGCTCTCTCTCGTTCATTATTGGCACCGCATGAATGAGTTGGGGCTTGCACTCACTAGCTAACGTTTCAAAACCACTCGGAGCTGGGCTACGATTCGAGCTAACAAGCTTATGTCTTTAAATCGAATAAAGCTTGAATCAACACAGACACTGATTCTGTCCACGTCATTTGTTATCTCCGCGATGCGTTCGCTCGTGCCTGCAAGGAGCGTCTAACCCATCGAGTCCGTCGAACACACCGAACATACCTTTCCAGCCCATCGACCTCTTATCCCAGCGCTCGCCATGGAGCTGTCAGCTTGCGTCGATAGTGCCGCGCCTCCGAGCCTCCTTCAGGGAGTCCCGAGCCTCCATCAGGCTCGGCAAGACCACTACACCCCGTCCGTTCGGTCCGCTGCAGTCGCAATGAGCGGCGACCTACTGCCGCCGTCTGATATAGAGCTGGGCGAACGGCGCGACCCCATATCCCTCGAGCCAATCACCAGCCCGCCTTCCATCCGCCGGACCGCGTCGATAGGCACCAGCAGCGGTAGGGACTTCTGCTTATCGCTGCCGCAGATCCCTCCTCCCGTCACTCCGCGACCCGACTTAATAGCACCTCCAGAGGAAGCCGATTCAGACATGGGAATTACCATAATCTGTCCACCCAGGAACGGGCTTCTATTAAGCCCTACTGACGAAAGCGAAAAATCGGGCGAAACTGGCGAAGCCGGCGCGTCCAGCAGCAGACGTGGCGCATCAGGCCGTTTGGGCACGTCCGGAGCTGGCCCGGCGGTTCGGAAAGGCTCGCCGAGCCTGAGCCGCGCGAGGCTCGGGTTGGGGGAAATCCGGCTGGACCTGGGCGCGTTGCGCGCGCGCACGGAGCGGGATTTCAACGCGGAGGCGATGGAGGTGCGCGCGCGCAAGGAGAAGTTCGCCTTCTTCGAGAAGGACTGCAGCCGCGTGCTGGAGCACGTGTTCGTCGGGAGCGATTACGTGGCAAGAAGCCGCGAGATCCTGCGCGAGGCGGGTGTGACGCACGTGCTCAACTGCGTGGGATTCGTGTGCCCGGAGTACTTCCCCGGGGATATCGTGTACAAGACGCTCTGGCTGCAGGTGAGAGAAAGGGGCGGGGAAGAGGGGAGAGGGAAGGGAGGGAGTGGGGGGAAGGTGAGGGGGAGTGGTACGCAGGTTGGTGGAAGTGAGGTGGAGATGAGGTGGGAGTGAGGGTCAGGTGAGGGAGGTGTGACGGGAATGTTAAGTTGCTGTTTTGAGAGGCAGTGAGGGAGGCGACGCTCTCATCCCGTTGCACTCGTTTCTCCCGTTCCTTTCCCCTTCACCTCAGGACAACACGGCGGTGGACGTAACATGCGTGCTGTGCTGTACGACGTGTTTGACTTCATAGAAGGCGTGAGAGAGGCCACGGCTGCTCATCCTTGCACTCTCTCCCCTCCCTTTCTCCCCCACAGGACAACACAGCGGAGGACATCACATGTGTGCTGTACGGCGTGTTTGACTACATGGAGGGCGTGCGGGAGGGCGGTCACGGCTGCTCATCCTTGCACTCGTCTCACTCTCTCCACCTCTCTCTCCCTCCTTCCGCCACCTCCCCTCTTCCTCCCCTGCAGGACAACACGGCGGAGGACATCACATGTGTGCTGTACGACGTGTTGGAGGCAACGTCTCCTCATCCTCGCACCCGTCTCTTTCTCTCGCCATCGGCCTCGGCCCCCCCACTCGCCTCCCCCTCCCTCCCTCCCTCCCTCCCTCCCTCCACCACCCGTTCTTCCTCCCCCACAGGACAACACAGCAGAGGACATCACGTGTGTGCTGTACGACGTGTTTGACTACATGGAAGGCGTGCGGGAGAGCGGGGAGGTGGGGGCCAAGCCTCTTCATCCTCGCACCTCTCTCACTCGCTCCCCTTCCCTCCCTCCCTTCCTCCCCCACAGGACAACACAGCAGAGGATATCACATGTGTGCTGTATGACGTGTTTGATTACATGGAGGGTGTGAGAGAAGGCGGAGGGCGCGTGTTCGTGCACTGCTGCCAGGGCGTCTCGCGCTCCACGTCGCTTGTTATCGCCTACCTCATGTGGACACAGGTGGGCAGAGCAGTGCAGGAGTCTTGTAACGAGTTGTCTGTTAGCGTGTATGGCGTGATTGTCCACTCCACCATTAATGGTGATTGTAGTCGTGTTACTTGTGTGCGCACGCGAGTCGTTCAGCCGGTGTGGTGGGAGGATCACTTGAGTCATTCGCCTGATGCTTGCCCAAGATGCTAGAATAAGCCTGCTGTCGCCTGGTGCTTGCCTGGGATGCCAACAGGATGAAAAAGATCCAACCCTTCACCAGCAGGATGGTAACAGCAAGATGGTTTCGCATGCGGCATGCCAGTGCACTCGCAACCATCCTGCGCCCTTACCATCCTCCCCCCCCCCCCCACCCCTCTTCCCCTTCCCCCTGTCCCTGTGTCCCCGTGTTCCTCGCCCCCTCCCCCTCCCCTGTGCCGCTCGCCCCCTGCGCACACCACAATTCTCCAGCGCCTGGAGTTTGAGGAGGCGTTCAGGCGGGTGAAGGCGGTGAGGGGCGTGGCGAGTCCCAACATGGGCTTCGCATGTCAGCTGCTGCAGTGGCAGAAACGAATTCTGCCACCCAAATCAGCAGCCCCCGCGGCAGCAGCAACAGCAGCAGCAGCAGCAGCAGCCCCCCCAGCACCAGTTGATCCGCCAACAGTATCCGCAGCAGCAGCGCCAGCAGCGTCTGAAGCGGCGGGCGGCGTGGTTCGGCAGCACATGTATCGCATGGCGCCGCACTCCCCCTACGACGCGCTCCATCTGGTCCCAAAAACCGTCCCTTTCTCGCGCAACTCACTGGACCCGCGCGGGTGCTTTCTGGTGCAGGTGGGATCTGCTGTGTTCTGCTGGGAAGGCAAGCAGTGCCACTCCCTCATGGCCCAACAGGGGTTGGCTACCGCCAGGCAGATTATCAAGTATGAGAGTCTGGGCGGGGAGCCGGTTATGGTGACGGACGGGCAGGAGCTGGAAAGTTTTTTGGCTGCCCTTGGGGATGGGGGTGGAGGACGGGAGGGGAGGGTGGGTGGGGGGAGTGGGGCAGGGGCTGATGCTGAGTTGATGAAAGTGGTGGCTCGGCAGGGGTTGACGTACCTCGGGCAGGACGCAAAACTTTTAGATGGTGCCCAGCAGAGTTGTGGATGTGAGGTGTCTGAAGGGGTTGTAGCAGCTGCTGCGCCTGAATCAGCAACGAGTGGCAGTTCATCTAGTGCGCCAGACGCAGCAGTAGCAGCACATGAAATAGCACCGGCAGCAGCAACACCAGCATCAGCAGCAGCAGCACCAGCATCAGCAACACCAGCAGCAGCAGCAGCAGTGCCAACAGCAGCGTCCTCAGCAGCTCAGTCATCTCCATTAGCAACAATTTTATCTGATTCTCCGCTCTCACCCTCCGCACTCTCCTCCACCTCCCAGTCTACAACCCCATCTCAGCCCAAGCCAACAACCCCGTGTAAACCCAAAACGCCAACCCCTTCCCCACCCAAACCAAGCACATCACCCACACCTGCGAGCCCTCTTCTTCCCTCGCTGCCTCACGCTGCCTCTGCCCCAAACGCCCCTCACACCCCCACCTCTCCCGAACCTCCCAACCTCTCTTCTCAGCTCACGCCCCCCAACCAGGCCTCCACATCTGCCGGGCCTAGCCAGAAGTCCACATCTCCGGGATTCTCTGCCTACCGAACCTCGTCCTCGCTCTTGGGCTCGACCTCGCTCTTTGGTGCGGTGGACAGGTTTGCGCAGAAGCTTCGGCGCCGAAGCTGGGACCGCAAGGAGGCAGAGCAGCTTAGGAAGATGGCTGCAGCGGCGGAAAAAGAAGTATCGGGAAAGAAAGAGAAGGGGAAGGAGGGGAAGGGACGCAAGAGTGACAGCCCATCAGAAGGAAAAGAAGCAGCAGCAGGAGAAGCAGAGGGATCAGGAGGAGGAACGGGCACGAGCAGGAACAGTGAGGGGCGGGCGAGGAGGAGCGAGAGCCTCTCAGAGGAGCAGCTAGAGGCGCTAGCAGGGCAGCTGCGGTGCGGGGGTCTGCTAGATCCCTCTGATATCCGCCTGCGCCGCCCCTTCCTGCGCGGGCTGGGGCGCACTGGGGGAGGCGCGGACTGGGGCAGGCGGAAACTGGCTCAGGAAGAGGCGGGGAGGGAGGAGGAGGAGGACGGGTGTGGGGCGGGTGAGGCGGTGGAGGAGGGAGAAGGGAGGGTGGGAGGGGAGGGGGAGGAAGGAAGTGTGGAGGAGGAGAGGGAGAGAGAGGAGGGGAGGGTGGTAGGGGAGGAGGCTGGTGGGGGAGAGGAGGGGCGGGCGGAGAGGGGGAGGGGGCGGGAGCGGAGGAAGAGGGGCGAGGGGAGGGGCATGCGTGGGCTGTCTCCCATGCGCCTGCTGGCGAAGCTGTCAGGTGCTGCAGGGGGGGAGAAGGAGCAGAAGGGGGCGGGAGAGGGCGGAGGGAACGCGAATTCCAGTGGCAATGCAAGCAGCAGTGCAAGCAGCGCGGCAGTGACGTGTCTACGCCTGACTGCTGTGTCGTCGCCAGTAGTGCCTGGCAGGGCGGGTGGAGCCACTGTGCCTCCAATTGATGCTCTGGAAGGTTCCAGTGGTGATGCTGCTGCGGTCATCGATGCTGCTGCTGCCGCTGCAACAGATGCAACAGCTGAGCCACCTGCCGCAGCACCCACATCACCTGATAAAGCACCTGAAGCTGTATCTGGGCCAGCACCCAGTGCACCTGCAGCCGCACCTGTTCCAATCCAAATTCCAAACCGAAACCTTGTGCTTAACTCACCCGCCCCTGCCCCCACTGCATCCTCCTCCTCCTGCTTTACTGCTCTCCCCTGCTCTCAATACGACACTGATTTTGATTACTTTGAAAAGGCTCTCACGGGCGGCACGCCCCGTCCTGTAGCGGGCTTCGTGTCCCCCTCGGCCAGGCCGAACGTGCTGCCTCACAAGGGCCGCGGGTGGCTCTCTAACGAACCTGCCTGGAATGACAACCCACCAGGTTCGGCAGCTGGTTCGGGCATAGGCTCGGTAGGGGGGAACGCGTTTGGTTCCAAGGAATGGCCAAGCTGGATTCCGAAGAACAGGTTCGGTGCGCTAGGCTTGGCAGGAGGTCCGGGGCTGCCGTCTCCGTCGTCATTCTCCCCTCGTTCGCTCGCATTCTTCCCTCCTGGCGGCATGGGCATATATGGGCAGGAGCTGATGCGGTCTGTGCCCAAAGCACAGCAGGAGGGAGGAGGGCAGGGAGGGGGGCAGGGAGTGGGACAGAATCAAGAACAGGGGAAGGAGAACGGCGGGACAGAGTCAGGTGCAGGTGCAAGTGCAGCGGCCGCTCTTCCCTCAGCAGCACAGGGGGTGGGGTCAGGAGGGCGTGGGAGCGTGGAGAGTGGGGGAGTGGGGTTCACCCCCAGGGGGGCGGGTCGCTATGGGGGGTTCACCCCCAGGGGGGCGGGTCGCTATGGGGGGTTCTCCTCTCAGGGAGAGCTGCTTACTACCCCTCGTGGCGCCACGTCTTCCGTCAAACCGCCCTGGGAGGTAGGCGCGGATAGATTTGCCGGTGCAGGCTCGGGTGGAGGTCCGGGAGCTAGCTCCGGCAGCAGCAGCAGCAGTGCAAGGTTGCCTAAAGTGCCGGTTAAAGCCGCAAGTACAGCAGCTGTTCCTAACAACAGGAGTACACTTTCTTCGGTACAAGAATCCAGCGCTAGAGAGGACTGCTCGACAACCACCCCTGACATCTCGTTATTGAATGGTTCACAACACACGGTTACAGCGAATGGCTCGGAAAACCGCTCTAACAATGACAATGGGATTTTCAATGGAGCTGATGACTACAGTGCTGCTGGCCTTCCGTTTGGGATGACTCCTAGAGGACGTCCCCCACCAACGTCCTTTGCTGACCTGGACAAACGGGGCTTGGGTGGTTGGGGTAATGATGGTGCCAGCAAGGCTCCCCCGCTGCCGATGTCGAATAGAAGGTGATTTTGTAACCTGGTTTGCTCTGACCTGACAAATATTGCTGTGTAAAGCTCAGCTGGGCGCTTGTGTCTTTCAGGCATGGGCCATTCTTAAAGCAATTTTTTTTTCATCTATAGTGTAAGCCTGAGCTTATGTCATGTTTCTGGTGCTTCAGATACACCTGCAAATCCTTGAAAACACCCACGGATTTGGGGGCTTCGGATTGCTTGGATTCGCGATCCATCTGGCTGACACGTCAGAAACTGACGGAGCTGTGTGATTGGCTTGCGCGGTGCTGTAACCTTTCAGACCCATCCTACACGGTTCGTCTGCTATCCTTTTCGCCGCTTCTCTCGGACATTTTCAAGGCTTGCTGTTCCACTTGTGCGGGCGAAACATTTTGGGAACCACGATGTTGTCGCCGCACGAATTTCCACATGCGATCTCTAACGAACCTTGATTACCAGTCTTTTCGTGAAGTTACTGTTCTGGCAATTACGAGGTTATGAAAACACAGGCTTCCATGGCTCGTCCTTTTCCCCTCTCGGCCCTCCTAGATTCGTCCTTAGTCAATTTTTAGTCCAAGCTAGGTTATCGCAACAAGGTCTTATTACATCTCTCTTTAGGTCTGTTTGAATCAGTTGTTTTTCCGAATCGCTAGATCGTGTAGCTGTACCTGGTGCGGATTTGTAGACAATTTAACGGTGTCGAATCAGTCGTTTCATCGCATCGAGATTCAGGTTTCATTCACAATCTGGTATAGAACTTAAATTCGGTAAGGTCGACAACCCACTATAATCAGGCCTCCTTCAGCGGATCCGAGCATCAATTCTCTTACTGTAGCCAGTATGGCTGGTCAAGGTTGGGGCGATGTGGTGGAAGAAGCCCATCAAGCCCATCCGCCCGCGCCAGGCCCCCCCGCGCCATACATGCACCCCGCTGGCGGGCCTTCCGCTCCGGGGGGACCCCGCGGACAGGGACCAATTCTACGGCAGCCGATCACGTCGTACGTCCCACCCCACTTGCGCGGCCGCGGGCCAGTCGGCGGGGGAGATTTTCCGCAGCCTCCGGGTATGCCGGGGATGGGCCCACCGGGAGCTCCCGGCCCTGCGCCGGTAGTTTCCTGGAATGCGCCGGCGGGGGGAGCTGGCGGATCGTGGGCGGATCAGGCAGGCGCGACGGGTCCAGCATACGGGGGACCTCCGCCAGGCGGCGCATGGAACGGCGGAGCTTCAGGCGGAGGCGGCTGGGGTGGCGGAGGATACGGCGGAGGGGGCGGAGGCGCCTGGCAAGGGGGGGGTGCCGGAGGCGGGTACGGCGGCGGCCGAGGGGGATACGGCGGCGGGAGACGGGGCGGCGGCGGTGGCGGCGGCGGAGGGCCACTGGGAGGGTTTAGCGGGTCAGGCGGCGGGCGGGAGGAGGATCCGTTTTCGACGCAGACGAAGAAGGACTCAGAGGCGGTGTTTGAGAACCACCAGAACACGGGCATTAACTTCGACGCGTACGAGGATATCCCCGTCGAAACCAGCGGCGACAATGTCCCCCCCGCCATCACTGCTTTCGACGGATCGGGGCTCCAGGTGCGTGGCGGACACGTGCTTGACGCGTGTGCTCGTCTTGGATGTTGAAGCGTCGTGTAAACACGCGGTTCTGTATGGCTATTGAAATGATCCTTTTCTCACCTTGTTTCTGTCGACTCGGCGCTGAAACAACTTAATTGCCGCAGCCGTGACTGAAGCTCGTCAGTTCGTCGAATCTCTCGCCATCCATTTTCCGCTCCCCAGTCATTCTCCACCTCGGGCCCGGCCCGCATGCAGCGGTTTGGAAGAACCAGCGACGTTGAATCGCCTATGCAGACCCTTTCCTTCGCTTCTGGGTGCAAACTCCTCATCTCATTTCCTCTTTCCCTCTTCTCTGTTTTACTTTTCGTCCTAATCCCCCCTCCCCCCCCGGCTGCGCAACTGGCGGTGATGGAGAACGTGGGCGGCGAATTCAACTTTTCTGTTTTGCTCGCCTCTTCTCTCCGTCTCTTCCTGACCGCCCTAAACCCCCCGCACGCAGCCCGCGGTGATGGAGAATGTGAAGCGCTGCAACTACTCCAACCCCACGCCAGTGCAGCGGCACGCCATCCCCATCTCGCTCGCGGGGCGCGACCTGATGGCGTGCGCGCAGACGGGGTCCGGCAAGACGGCCGCGTTCTGCCTGCCCATCATCTCCGGCATCCTCGCCGCCGGGCCGCCGCCCGACCGCCCCCGCTTCGGCCGCAAAGCGTTCCCGCTCGCGCTGATTCTGTCGCCCACGCGCGAGCTCACGAGCCAGGTGAGGGATCGAGGGATTCGACGAAATGACGAGCTGTCGTCACGGCTGCGGCCATTGCGCCAGTTGCGTCAGTTTCACAGTTTCTGCTCTGAGATGCAACCCCACGCGCCCCACGCTCTGATATACGTTCTGTTTACATGTTCTACTGGACTGGAAGCAACTGCCAACCTGTTTTGCGGAGCGGCTGGGATTTAGTGGACTGGGAGCCTGGTTTCATAGGTGACTTTTGAGTCGACTCAAATGCCACCTCAGTGGTGGAGGAGCTTGGTTGCAGCTGTCGTGCTGGTAGAAACAGTCTTAATAGGTTGCACTTGGGAGAGCCCACACGGGCCGGGTGCGAGCCTTGGCTGAATCACCTGCACTCCTCGCCTCCTCCTGTTCTTGGTGCCCTTCCCTTCCGCTATCCACGCTACGACTCCCGCCTCTCCCTCCGCGAGTCCGCCATCCGCCATGCTTTGTTCCGTTTCCCTGTCTTATCGCCTCCCCGACTCCTCTGCGCTCTAGGCTCGTTCCCTCCTTCGTGCTTTCTCTCCCTCCCCCCCTCCCCTCCTCGCCCCTCGCCCCTCGCCCCTCGCTCCGCTCCCCTCGCCCCTCCCCGCTCGCCCCACCCCCCTCGCCCCTCAACCCTCTCCCCTCCCCCCCTCGTTTCCCGTTCCTCATCCGCTCGTCCGCTTCCTCCCCCCCTCCACCTGCGCCCCCTGCGCCCCTCCGCGCAGATCCACGCGGAGGCCTGCAAGTTCGCCTACAAGACCGGCCTGCGAGCCGTCGTCGTGTGTTGAGTCGACTTAAAACACTTCTCCCCCTCGTCCCTCGCGCCCCTCGCCCCCTCGCCCCTTCTTCCTCCGCGCAGATCCACGCGGAGGCCTGCAAGTTTGCTTACAAGACTGGCCTGCGCGCAGTCGTTGTTTATGGCGGTGCCCCTGCCGGCCAGCAGGTAATTATATGCTGCCTGACGGCTAGCAGGTAAGGCTTTGCCTAGGCGTTTGTGTCGGCAGCAGGCGTTGTGATATTCAATCGGTCCCAATGTACACTTAATGATTGTACGTTGATGCGTAGCAAGGATTAATTTAGAGTTCAAGCCAATAGAAGGAGAAGAGTGGTACTTGCTGCTTGGGCTTGCTTTTCCCACGTGCAGACTGTCTCTGCGGGCTATATTCGCCTCTTTCTCATCACACACGTGTGTTTCCCTTTGTGTGCGTTCCCCATGCATCTGCTTTGGGCATGGCATGTCTGTTGGTATGCCTGCTGTGTCTGTGGCTATCCCGCCGTGTTGCTACGTGTGTGTGTGGGGGGGGGAGGGGGGGGGGGGGGGGGGTCATTCATTCATGAATCCATGCACGTGTGTGCATGCACGTGTGTGCATGCATGCAGATGCGGGAGCTGGAGAGGGGAGTTGAGATCCTTGTCGCCACGCCTGGAAGGTACTAGCCTCCTCCTCCTTCTCCTCCTCCTTCTCCTCCTCATCCCCACTGGCCTCTAGCCGTTTCTCTCACTCGCATCAACATGCACAAGTTCAAATTCTCGCTTTCCATAAGCTCTCATGCTCCGATGCGTCTTGTAGAACACAAGCGTGAGGCACTAGTGCTAGTGCATGCGTCCACGCACCAGTTATCCGCCTCCTGCCCAACACCCACTACTCTTTCGTCACGTGATGTGCGACAAGCTGGGACATGTGAAGTGAAAACGGTTAGCAGGGCCACTGTCCAGTACCCAGGCATGTGCAAGGATCACTGCAGGCTCCTCATAGTGCTATTTGAGTTTTCCAAGAAACTATCCGTGCAGTGCCCTAGTGCGGCCGAGGCCGATTACATGCCTCTCATGAACCCTTATCCGCACCTCCTCCCTGCTGAATCTTGAGATGTCTCATATACGGGGCCAAGGCTGACGACTTTTGAGGCCTCAATCGGTGTCTCATATATGTGGGCAAGGCTGACTGCATGGCCCTCATGGGGCTCAAACCTCATGGGGCTCAAACCTCATGGGGCTCAAACCTCATGGGGCTCAAACCTCATGGGGCTCAAACCTCATGGGGCTCAAACCTCATGGGGCTCAAACCTCATGGGGCTCAAACCTCATGGGGCTCAAACCTCACCTCTTCTTCCTGCCGTCACTCCCCTGCTCCGTTGCGCCCTGACCTGACCCCTGGATCCTGCAAGCTGTGAAAACCGAGGACAAAGAATGCCGAGTTTGTGTAAGACCCCTGAGACCAGCTGGTTCTTGTGAATCTCCAAACACCTGCTTGCACTCTGAACCTTGGCCCCCCAACCCCCAGGCTGTGCGACACACTAGAGCGTGGAAAGGTGTCCATCACATTGGTGCGCTGTCTCGCCCTCGATGAAGCCGAGCCGCAGATCCGACTGATAGCACGCACCCTCCACTTCCCTTGCCCCCTCACCCTGTCACCCCTGTCACAGGCTGTGCGACATGCTGGAGCGGGGCAAGGTGTCCATCACAATGGTGCGCTACGTGGCTTAGATGAGGCCGATCGCATGCTCGACATGGTCTTTTAGTCGCAGATCCGTTTGACCACACGCACCCTGCTCTACTCCCCATCATCCATGTGTCTACAGGCTGTGCGACATGCTGGAGCGAGGAAAGGTATCCCTCACCATGGTGCGCTACCTTGCTCTCGACGAGGCCGATCGCATGTTGGACATGGGCTTCGAGCCGCAGATCCGGCGCATCGTGGAGCAGGAAGGCATGCCGCGCGCGGGCGAGCGCCAGACGCTCATGTTCTCGGCCACGTTCCCCAAGGAGATCCAGCGCCTGGCCGCCGACTTCCTGGCCAACTACGTGTTCCTCACGGTGGGGCGCGTGGGGTCGTCCACGGATCTCATTCAGCAGCGCGTGGAGTATGTGCCCGAGCATGACAAGCGGTCGGTGCTCATGGATCTAATCCACGCGCACCACACCTCCAACGGCGCTACTGGCAACGCGGTGAGTGCTCTGAGAATGTGCTTCAGTTGCCTCGAACTCTCGATCCTTCTATGAGTATGTGCCCGAGCATGACAAGCGATCGGTGTTGATGGACCTCATTCACGCGCATCACACCTCGAATGGCGCTACTGGCAACGCGGTGAGTACACAGTCAGGGGTTGCGTGGAGTCGTCCGCTGATCTGATTCAGCAGCGCGTGGAGTATGTACCCGAGCATGACAAACGGTCCGTGCTCATGGATTTGATCCACGCGCACCACACCTCAAATTTTGCTACTGGCAACGCGGTGAGTACACAGTTAGGGGGCGAGTGGGTTCGTCAACTGGTGTGGAGTATGTGCCCGAGCATGACAAGCGATCGGTGCTCATGGATTTTACATGTGTGGCTCTGCTGTTTCACTTGCTGCATACCTCCTATCGCATGAGTATGTGCTCATGGACTTGATTCACGCGCACCACATTTCCAATGGCACAGCTGCTGCCCACGTGGCGAGTGCTGTGAGGCGTTGTTTCACATGCTGCATTACCCTCTATGCGTATGTGTCACATGCTGCATTACCCTCTATGCGTATGTGTCACATGCTGCATTACCCTCTATGCGTATGTGCCCACCTAGTCCCCACTCGTCTCACCAACCCCCTCCTCCCCACCACCTTTTCTCCTTCTCCCCCCACCCCAACCACCCGCACCACAGGGCGGGCTCAAGCTGGTGTTGGTGGAGACCAAGAAGGGGGCCAACTCTCTCGAGGACTGGCTGTGCTGTGCTGTGCTGCAACGGCTTCCCCGCCACCTCCATCCACGGCGACCAACCACCACCTTTCCCCCCCTTCCCCCCCCCCCACACACTCCCCTCCCACCACAGGGCGGGCTCACACTGGTGTTTGTGGAGACCAAGAAGGGAGCGGACTCGCTGGAGGACTGGCTGTGCCGCAACGGCTTCCCCGCCACGTCCATCCACGGCGACCGCTCGCAGCAGGAGCGCGAGTCGGCTCTGCGCTCCTTCCGCTCCGGCCGCACGCCCATCCTCGTCGCCACCGACGTGGCTGCGCGCGGCCTCGACATCCCGCACGTGAGCCACGTCATCAACTACGACCTGCCCTCCGACATCGATGACTACGTGCATCGCATCGGGCGTACCGGGCGCGCGGGGAAGACTGGTTTAGCCACGGCGTTTTTCTGTGACAAGGATACGAACCTGGCGCGGTCGCTGATAGAGTTGATGAGTGAGGCAAATCAGGAGGTGCCCGGGTGGTTGCAGAACTTCGCGTCGCGGTCGGGGTATGGTGGTGGTGGGAAGGGCAGACGAGGCGGCGGTGGAAACCGGTTCGGAGGGAGGGATTTCAGGAAGGAGCGCGGGGGAGGGGGAGGGGGGTATGGCGGGGGTGGGTATGGCGGTGGGGGGTATGGCGGCGGGGGAGGGTATGGGGGCGGGTATGGGGGAGGAGGGGGGTACGGTGGTGGTGGTTATGGCGGCGGTGGTGGCGGGTACAGCAACGCTCCTCCAAGCGCCTGGGATTAGGCCTGCCTGCCGTCTGGCTTCTGCCTTCTACCCTTTCGACCGAATGAGGGGGTTTGGGGGGGGAGGAGGGAGGGTGGGGTGAAGTTTGGAGCTGTTCAACTGTGGTGAGCTGACAGAGGAGTTGAGTTGTTGCTACACTTGGCGAGGTCTTTTGATAGTGAACATTTTAGGTACTGGAGTCTGTGCTTTGGCCTGCTACTGCTGCCGCTGCTGCTGCTGAGGCTTCTGCTGCTGCCGCTGCTGCGGAGCCTGCTGCTGGCACTGCTGCGGCTAAGGCCGACCCTGCTGCTGCCGCTGCTGCTGCTGCTGCTGAGGCTGCCGCTCCCACAGCCTTTGTGAGTTGACTTTGTGTGGCAGCAATGGGAACCATGGGAAGGTGCTTTCACCAGCCGGTGTGGGAGCTTCAACAGGGGAGAGTCCCCTATCTTGACTGCACGTCTTCTCCCATTTGCCGACGTTTCTGCAGTTGAAGTGAATGTACCGCTGTGGCGGCCTTGGAACCAACAGGTTCTGGGGCGTCCCAGTTCTGCTCTGGGCTCTTTGCAGCTGCAGCTGGCACTGCCGCAGCCACTCAAGGTGCCTTGTGCTCTGCGTTTGTGCATGAGTCGCCAGCAGCCTTTGGCAGCAGCCAGGGGCTTAAGCTGCGAGGCTTGAGGTCTTTTTGAAACTTTCTTGTTGTCTACCTACCTCTTCCCACCCCCTTCTTATGCTTCTCTCATCTTCCCTTGATCCCTTCCTCTTACTCTTTCCCTTCCCTAGACCTTTTAGCCATGTCTTTTCAGACCAAAAACCAAGGGCAGCATGAATTGGGGTAGGCAGGTCTGTCAGGCCCTTATCCCTGTCAAGGGGACGCTTGGGCTGAGGGATACTAGGGCACAGGCAATGCCGTTTCTTTCTAGACGTAGGCTTAGGGATGAGCCTTGAAAAGCCACTTTGGCTTTCACAAGGCCTTGTCTCTGGGCTTTCTCGAGGGCCAATCGCGCTTTCCTTCTGTGCCTGCTTTTGGGCCGATATGGTTTGCTACTTGCCTCTATGCTTGTGCCTCTGGTACCCATGCCTTGTCCTGCAGAGTGTCTCTGCCTGAATTTTGATGAAGCTGGGCCTAGACCATTAGTAATGAAACTCTTAACCATTTCCCTTAGATGATTCATCTCATTCTCACTTCTATTCACAAATGCCAATTTTATCGGTTCGTTTGTTATGTTGACATCTGTGTCGCTGTGTTGGCGTCACTGGCAATAATTGGCGTCGCTGCCATCAGCACCAATCTACACAGCACCCCGTTCACGGGTCAGCTCAGCATCTTTTTGAGACCATCATTTACCGTCGGATTCTTCTCACTTCAACATCGGACGTTTATAACCAGAAATACCGGAGAGCCTGCCCGAAAGCCACCGCGTTCCATTTGGGGTGACCCTGCCGCAAAGTACGCTGCATAGAAATCTCCCTGCCCCTGACACATAAATATATCGACGGCCACGATTGAACGCCAGCATTCCCTTCCTCTCTCCTTTCTCCTCGTTTCAGGTCGTCCATCCCTGTTAGCCGCGCATTCTCTTGTGTTGTGAGTCGTGACGCGTCACACGTCCCCTGCTAGCAAAAGCCGCTAGATTATCCTCATTCCGCATTATAGTAGTCCAGCGATTTTTGAATCCCCTCGCTGAGGTAGCGCCTTTTGCCCGCATGCCAGCTTCATGGATCGCGTCCGGCGCAAGCTGGGCGGGTTGGCGCACACCAACAGTGCGCGTTCGCGCACCATCAGTGCGCATGCGCGCGCCATCAGTGCGCATGCGCGCGCCATCAGTGCGCATTCGCACAAGGAATCGTAGCGATGAGTGGCAAACACTTACAAACCGCAGAAGTGAAGGTAGCAAGCGCGGAAGAGCGAATAGCTTCAAACGAACTCGAGGCATCTCTTCTGCTTGACTCCTGAGCCATCTCCGCGCAGTTTCATCTTCTGCTTGACTCTCGTGAGTCGACTCACCAAAATTCCTTTCCCAGGAACGTGTTTCTCGAGCAGCCAGTGACGACTGAAATCGCCCGTAAGCGATCCTTCGCACTGCCATAGCAGCTCTCAGTAGCCGTCAGTATTCGGAATACTTTCACTCAACCATTGTACCAGACACGCAGGTCACAAGGCTACTAGGAAATGCCAGTTTTTCCGTTTTGCATCATGGATTCGGAAGAGCCTGAACGAGACGCGTGAAGGGCTTTTAGGCTCCGTCGACGTTCTTCTTTCCGTAGAACCTCTCAGCACCGCAATCAGCTCCGCCGTTCTTCATCTACCGCGGGCGATTCACCGCGATATCTAGGGAATCGATTGTAGCGCGGCAGCTGGCGTAGCACCGCGTGTTTCGGACATCAAATAGGCGAAGGGCCGAAGCGGCGAAAGCCGAAGAGTAAACATCTAGCAGTGAAGGTAGAGGACGTGAGGTCGAGGGAGGAGAACGAGAGGTATCCGAAGCGGTGAAGCAATTCAGTTTCAGGGACACCCGACTGATTCAGGTGTAGACTGTGCTGGCGTTAGGGTCGGCAGAGAGCTGCTTCGACTCAGAGAAATTCCGGTCGGAGAAGGTGCGGAGTATCGCCGTTGAATCGATCGCACCGCCAAAAGAGGCCCTAGTAATCCGCCAACTTGAAATAACTGGCGGCGCCGCATTCGCAGACACTTGGTTAAATTGAAGCCCAGGGTGGTCGGAAACCAGGTTGGCGGCGTGTGTCCGCTTGCAATAGGCGCGAGCAGGCGCGCGGAAAAGGCGCAACCAAGCGCACGCAAAAGGCTCAAGCAGGCGCGCGGGCGCGGGAACAGAGGCGCGGTCGCGGAAGCAAGCGTGTGCGCGGAGGGCGAATGGCGGCGATGTGGAGCTGGCAGGGGCAGCAGCAGCGCGGGCGGCAGCAGCCCCCAGGCGTGGTGCCGCTGAGCGTGTGGCTCGTCCTGTTGCTGCCCGCCTGCCCCCACGCCCTCGCCTCTCACGCCGGTAAGCCATGGCGCATGGCGCATGGGGCACGGCGCATGGGGCACGGCGCATGGGGCACGGCGCATGGCATGGTGCATGGGGCACGGCGCATGGGGCACGGTGCATGGGGCACGGCGCATGGGGCACGGTGCATGGGGCATGGTGCATGGGGCATGGTGCATGGCGCATGGTGCATGGCGCATGGTGTTGGAGGGACGGAGAGGGTGGATGGCTGCTTGCGTCTTGCAAGCTCATGCGTCTTGCCAGCTCGTGCGTCTTGCCAGCTCGTGCGTCTTGCGAGCTCGTGTGTCCGTGTTAGCTTCTCATGCCATGGCGCGTCACATGCCTCATCCCATGCCTCATCCCATGCCTCATCCCATGCCTCTTGTACCGGCCCCCTGCAGGTCGGTTGCTGCTGGGCGTGGGCACACCGCCGCGGCGACTACTGGCGGACATGCCCCTCAGTGAGCACCCATCTCCCCCTCTCCTCCTCCTCTCCGTCTCCCCTCCTCGTGTCTCCTTTCCCACTCGCTTTCCTGTCTCGCTTGCCTGTCTCACTCGACGCTTCACTCCCTCCTCTTCTCTCACCTCACCTTTTGCACCGTGCCCGCTCCACCCCACCCGACCCTTACCTGTTACTCCCACCTTTTACCCCTCTCCTCTTACCCCTCTCCTCTTACCCCTCTCCTCTTGCTCCTCTCCTCTTGCTCCTCTCCTCTTACCTCTGACCTCCTCCCCTTACCTCTCGCCAGCAATTGATGCACGTTTGTGAGTTTGCCATATTACTCATCTCTGCTCTGCCTCTATCTTCTGTTCGTACTATCGAATTCTTCCCGTCTTTTCCTTTTCCTTCTCCCTGCACTTTCCCCTTCCTTTTCCCCCTTCCTCCTCGCTCATTCTTCCCCACGCCTCCTCACACCGCCAGCCTCTGTCGCCCCCATCTCCCCCGCTCCTGCATCCCCTGCGGCATCCCCACCAGCGAGCACTCTCCTCGCGCTCATCGTCACAGCATCTGTGCTCCTTGTGGGGGTAGTCATCCTCGTTATAGTCTTCTGCAGGACAAGGAGACGTTGTGAGTTTCCTAGTCACACCTTCCCTCCTTTCCATTGCTGCCATTGTCAAGCGTTCCTGCTTTTTCATGTACCAGCATCCCCTGTATTATCTGTCTCGATAGAGCATAACCACATCTTGTGGTTCTGGGAAGTGGTCGCAACATCAGGATTCTTATTCTTTCTATAATTTTCACGAGTCCTCAAAAGCAGCCTGCATGAGCCATCACAACCACCCCACTCACATCCCCCTCCTCTTTCTTTCACTTCCTCCCCGCCCCTCCCACCTCTCCCTTCCCCTCTCCCCCGCCCCTCCCCTCCACCCCACATCCCTGCCAGTCCCCCAAGTGGCCCCTCTCGATGGCAAAGCATCCGGCATAGTTGACAATGACAGCGAGAAGGGAAACGGGGAGGAAGGGGAGAGCGAGGAGGGCGAGGACGGGGAGGGGAGGTGCGCGCCAGTGGAGCAGTGGAGCTGGGAGGAGGTGGAGGCGGCAACTGATGGTTTTAGCGAGGAGCGCACTATCGAGGACGCGGGGCACTCGGCGGTGTTCAGAGCAGTGGGACGCGGTGGGGAGGAGCTGGCGGTGAAGCGCGCCAAGCGGGTGTCAGTGGAGGGGCAGCACCTCTTCCGCAACCAGGTGGGCTCAATTCGCCTCTCTTCACTCCTTGGCACCGCTCTTCACTCCTTCACACCGCTCTTCACTCCTTGGCACCGCTCTTCACTCCTTCGCACCGCTCTTCACTCCTTTGCACCGCTCTTCGCTTTCTTTGCTCATTTGCTCCTCTCGCCTGTCAAATGCGGTTGTCATGGCCGGCCCGCTTTCCCTCCCCATGGCAGGTGGAGTTCCTAGAGGCCCAGGTCATCCCAGCATCGTGACTCTGCCTCTCAGTGCGTGCATCAGTCTCGCATTCACATTCACATTCACATTGCTCGCTGCTCTCCCCCTCACCGCAGGTGGAGTTCCTGGAGGGAGTGCGGCATCCCAACATA